TCTCCTTATTTATTTCAGAAATCCCTTCCCCTCCCCCATTTCTGAAGGAGGGTCTAGGCCCGAAACGTCAGCCTTCCTGCTCTTCTGATGCTGCTTGGCCTGCTGTGTTCATCCAGCTCTACACCTTGTTACCTTTAATATTCTGGGGACCTGGGTTCACATCCCACCATGGCAGATGGTGGAATTTGAATTTGTTTTAAAACAAAATCCGATGTTCACAGGTCAGAACTTTCACTAAATATGCAGGTCCTTTGAGACGAGATTTCATCTAATGACGACCATGTCGATTGTCAGAAAAACCCGTCTGGTTCACTAATGTCCTTTAGGAAAGGAAACTATCATCCTTACCTGGTCTGGCCAACTGGTGATTCCAGACCTGCAGCAGTATAGTTAATTTGTAAATGCATTCTGGGAAGTTAGGGATGATTAATAAATAATGGTCTAGCCAGTGATGCCTACATCACTAAATAAAATGAATTTAAAAAATTATGACTTACAATAATCTAAAATGGGAATTTTACCCGTAATTGGGATCACGCTGTACTAAACTTATAAGTGCAACTGTTGTATCATGACATAGTGAATCGTATAGCCTTTGGATAAATATTAAGATTGCAAAAACAAATAACTATCAGGATGGTCTTACCTGCACAAAATTGGCCCAGCAGTGCCCCTTGTTTGGAAGTTACAGGTGTGGTTTGGGGTCCAACGTGGTGTAAAAGTTGGAATGCACAGTTTTGAGATGCAATTCAGCTTCTGAAAAACATCAAACTCTTGCTCTCTCATATTCCATTATTCAATGTTTCACAAGTCAGATTCAGTCCCTGCTTCTAACACAATGCACTTTCCTTTTTAAGAGGTCCAGGCTGGTTTTTAACAATATTAGTTGCTTTCTCCGGAATCTAACCAGTCAACAGCTCTGTTAGCACTGGCTGAATGCTGAAATAATTTAAGATATCAGGAAGCAAAAAGTGTTGCTTCTGTTGCAGTCAACAGGACCTGGTTATTTGGGTATCACAATCTCTCTGTCTGTTTACAGGGTCTATCAGGTTCAATTCTCTGCAAGTCAGTTCTTAACAGGTCTCTACTTGTGTACTGTGCACCAAAACAATGTTGTCACTACCTAGAGGCCGGTTGGCAGGAATCACCTGCGTTTTAACAACATTAACTTTGTTCAGTACGAATAAACAAAGACTCCATTTTATATGACTGTTTGTTTATTTGTTTGGTGCCTGGAATTCCCTAAAGTTAAGTGAATGCCCTCTCATCCTTTGAGTTCAGTGTGACCATTGGAAATCCTCATAAATTGCTGTCTTTTTAATGGTGGTATTGTCGTTGTATCGTCCTATTAAAGCAGTTTCAATTCCCAACGTTGTAAGATATGAGTTTGTTCAGGATGTAGCAGTCCTCCCTCCCACTAAGTACTTAGTTCTGCTCTTTGCACCTACTGGTTTAAGTATTCTACATAGAATAAACAGGCAAAGATGCTTGCAAAAGGTGGGGCCAGCTGTTGTCTTTTCTCTATTTTGACAGTTAAGTCTTTACTTAAACATATTTGTCACGTTCTCATCTTGACATGGGAGGAACCAGGAAGAGAGATTGAGATATTTAACTCAGTAGGTGTGGCATAGCCTGTGTGTACTGGACATGCAGTTTGTATTGTTCTTGTGCTTAACATTCACAGCTGGCAAAAGTAATTTTAAGTATAATTTAAATCAGAATGCTGAACTGCAACTGGATTTAATATCCTACCAGGATTAGGGGATGGGATAGATGTGATAATTGTGACAGTATTGTACCAAAGTAAATGGCAGTGAGTATATTCTTCAAGTTAACCAAAATATAGGTTTTGCTGTTTGCAGAGCAGGTACTGGACAAGACATTTCATCATAGAATCCCTGCAGTGTGGAAACAGGCTCTTTGGCCCAAAGAGTCAACACCAACCCTCAGAGCGTCCCACCCAGACCCGTCGTCCTATACCCCACCTAATCTACACTTCCCTGAATGCTACGGGCAACTTAGCATGGCCAATCCACCTAGCCTGCACATCTTTGGACTGTGGGAGGAAACCCACGCAGACACGGGGAGAACGTGCAAACTCCACACCAGACAGTTGCCCGAGGGTGGAATTGAACCCGGGTCCCTGGCACTGGGAGGCAGCAGTGCTAACCACTGAGCCACCATGCTTGCTCAAACCAGCACAATTCACTGTGTTTGGGTATTTCCAAAGGCATTCTGAAATGCAGATTTTAAATTTTAAGCAAATTCCATATACAAAGCATTTATTCAAAGGTCTTGGGTGTGTTGAATATCTCGCAGAAATCACTGCTGGCTCCACAAGTTGGTTTACAGGTTAACCAGATTTCTTTGAGAGAATTTAACTGCCTTTCCTTACAATATTAAGGTTTGTACAAGGTGGCATCTGTAAGATTTTATTAGTATAATTGCATCTTCTATTGGATTCTGCCTTTAGTTTGATAGTCTGAAAACTATATGAATTAGCATAGCATTGTTTCTCCTTTAGTTTTCACTACAGTGATTCACATTTGCTTTCCATTCTGGATTTGTTTCAGTTCTAGGATCGATTTTGGTAAAATGTTTAAAAGTTTGCCTCGAGAGAGCGATGGATGTCGCCACAATGTCAGACTGGTCAACAATCACTGGACAGTGGTGTGAGCCAAAGGCTTGACACGGAGATCACTAAGAACAATTAGTGGTAAGTGAACGCACAGCATTATCTACAAATTTCCTAATAATAAAAATCAATTTATTGTTAAAATCAAATGTTTTAACTTCATGGTCCAATCTCTGTTTCAGTTTTGAACATCTGATATCTCCTTTTATTGCCGACACTTTATAAGAAAACAATTGCTGCAGTTGTATAGGCATCAAACCTTTGGTGAATCCAGCATTATGCCAAAACAAATGGAGATGATCAACTTGTCATTCCTGACAGATAAAGAAAAGGAAGCAATAATCGCAGTTCTCTTCCGAGATGAGAAGTTGCGTTCATATGAGGAGAAGCGAGTAAGGTAATGAGGGGAAAGGTGTTTTGAATAAAACTTCTAAACGTAATTGTTTCAAAATCCTTCCTTCTAGGATGTCACATCACAGGGCATTCTGCATAAAATCTGTGCTCAGGAAACCTCTAATCTGCTGTTTTAAACCGTAAAAGAAATTTATGAATGACAATTCAGTAATTTGCATTTTTGCCATAGTATCATAGAGTACATGTCTTATGTTCTTACAGAAGAGGTCCTTCAGCCCATCAGGTCTGCATCAATTTAAAAAAAACGATACTAAACCTCCAATAGTCCCACTTGACTAAGTCAAGATTTTCTTAACAACACTTTAATGACAAAATGCTTTCAATAGAAAAACATTTTGCATTTTATAATGTTGATGGAAGTATGATGTGTGGATTCATAGTACAGATCCTGAGACGATAATCCGCCTTGTAGTAGAGACTAGAATTATGGTGATTCCCATTTAAACCAAAATGAGTGATTTTTGTTTTCTCTTTTGAGGGTGGTGAGTCTATGAAATTCTTTTCTTTTCTTCAGATGGTGGTAGAAGCAGGCTCCATTAATATTTTTAAGGCAAAGCTCAGTAAATGCTTGACTAACAAGAGAGTCAAAGTGTATGGGCGTAAGCAGGAGAGTGGATTTGAAGCCACGATCAGATCTTATCAATCTTATCAAATTGGGCTGCATAAATATCATGCCAGGCAGCAGGAAGAATGGTACCACAGGGTTATTGCTCCTTGTACTGACATCAGAGGTCTTCAAACATTTTTTGCTGATTTCTCCCTTTGGAGATCATTCCCTCTGCTTAAGAAGCAATGTGGGTGAAACAAGTCTTTGCAGGCAGCATAAAGAATTTAAAAATGCAACCTGTTTCATGCATGCACAATTTTCTTTTCTGGCGATCAGGTGCAGTATATTCCAATTTCACCATCTTTTAATATTTCTACACACAACCAGCAGATTTTAATTCAGTTAATGTAATATATTACTTGAGACAGAAACACACTATCAGCATTATGCAGCTGGATAAACATGACCATAAAGGAAGACTTGATGATTCATCCATATAGCAGTGAGTGGGATAGTCCTATTTTTCAGTTTAAACTCAAGTTTCATTTGGAGACAACAAGGTGCAGAGCTGGATGAACACAGCAGGCCAAGCAGCGTCATAGGAGCAGTAAGGTTCTGCATCCAGCTCTGCACCTTGTTGTCTCAGATTTTCCAGCATCTGCAGTTCCTACTATCTCTGATTTTATTTGGAGAGTCATGTTTAAATCAGTATCCAAATGGAAGCTCCTTCCATATTTGTTTTTGATGTCAAATAAATGAAGACAATTCCATTTTTCCCCAGAAACACTCGGTCAATATTAACAAAAACAAAGTTGCTGGAAAAGCTCAGCAATTCTGGCACCATCTGTGAAGGGAAAAACAGAGTTAATGTTTCGGGTCCGGTGACCCTTCCTCAGAACTGATGGTGGCTGGGAAAACTTCAGTTTATATGCAGAAAAAAGGGGAGAGGGATGGGGTAGGGAGTAAACGATAGGATAGAGCCTAAAGAGAGAGAAGAGCAGTTGGACAGACAAAGAGTTGATAACAATCAGGCTGAGGGTGAACAGTTGTTAATGGGGACTATTAGTGACTAACAACGAATAGTGTGTAATGGCAGGCTATGTGGTAACAGTCAATGTTAACACTTGTTTTAGTGTCTCGGGGAACTCTATTTAATTAAAATGCGTGAATTTACAATGGTCTCTCAGAACAGTGACCAGCACCATTGACTCACTGCTGTAAAGTCTTCATAAGTTTTGAACTGTTGCTGCCTCCCTTTCAGGGAGATATTTTTGTATTTTGTGGAAATGTGAGACAAAACAGAGCTGTTTCTGTTTTGTGGTAACTGATTACTGTGTATTTGATTATACCAATTTCCATTTTTAGAAATCAGTGTGAATTCAAGCATCTGATGTTGTGCTGTGCTGAGACTGTCCTTTGCCAGGTTGTACCAGTGATAAGAGAAATTCAGTCTTTTGATGTGTCAGAGGTATTAGGAACTGCCGATGCTGGAGAATCCGAGACAACAAGGTTAGAGCCGGATGAACACAGCAGGCCAAGCAGCATCACAGGAGCAGGAAGGCTGACATTCCAGGCCTAGACCCTTGATGTATCACCTCTGACTATGGGAGGTCACATTGGGCCTCTTCTTGGCCAACCCATCCTTGAGCCTTGGTGTCCTTGTGTGGTGCCCCTCAGTTTGGCAGCCTATGGATCATTATGATATCGCTGTTAAATTTGACTGTTAAGTGTATATTCTTTTGAGTTTCCCGATTGCTTACAACAGGTGGCCTGTATTAATTATGTCCCTGGAAAGACCTTACAACCCAGCCCACTCCATTCTGTTTTAGGCAACTTAAGCTGGACTGTACATGCAGTCTTGAGTCATCCACTTTCAGAGGATAAAACATCAAATTAGTAAGATTGTTTCAAATTAGTAGGAGTTAACGTAATTCAGAGCTTCCCACTGTGGAGTCACAAGCTGTGAGGCAGTAATGGCTGCCATGGAGTTTGGCCTGAAGGCAAATGGCCATGAGGTCCTATTAAATCCTCATGTCTTTTTTCTTATGGTCATGGCCTGACAGACCAATCCTTGAGGCCTGATTCCTGCTGCAAAAAAGGTTGTGAAGAGGTAGGTATCATTTTTAGGAACCTTGTGCTTTAAATAACTCCGACCACATTGAACCTCAGTCCGCACCTTCCCCATCAATCGCTGCTCCCATCCAGCTCACTCATCGAAGGTCATTCCCCCACCCCAGCCAACTCCAACCCCCCCACAAAGTGTGGAGCATTAAATTGGTATCTCACCAGGAAAATGCTTGGGAACAATGGATGTGATTAACTACACTGGTCATTGCAATTCTCCTCTTTTTGAAAGGGGTGTAGTTTATTTGCAGATAAAGTCCCATAATAATTTTTTTTTGTCTTTTGCTATGAAGAAAGCTGAAGAGTGAGCTGTTGGAAATACGGCGTAAAGGAGCGAAACGTGGCAGTCAGGACTACAGCAATAAGACTTGTGCCCGATGTCAGGAAACACTCGGCCGCTTTGTTAAAAGCGGAAATGTGTGTAAGCAGTGTAACCACCTGGTGTGTAAGGAATGTGGCATTACAGATGTAGACGGAAGATGGAAATGCAATGTGTGCATCAAGGAGGCGTGAGTGTAACTTTTATTGAGTAGTATTTTGTTTGAAGGATGGAAAACTTGGAGATGATGTTTTCTAAAATATGACATGCCAAACTGGTGATGTGCTTTACTGGGGTGAGTGACCCTGTGTCAGGGCTGTCTCTGCAATGAATAGGACTGCTGCTGGGTGCGTTAAGATTCCGAATCTTTCCCCATGAGACACCCAGAAGAAAAATGTCCTGAAATGGTGGGTTTACCTTGGGTTAAGTAGTTTCCTATTTTACAAAGAAGATCAAAAAGCACTTTCCAAATTATATGTTGGAGGAGTACTTTGAAAAAAAGTCACATATTTCACACTAAAATTGCTGGAAAATCAACAAGATTGAACTTGGGCGATTTGACTAACACTAAAGTTTCAAGACTCTTAAACGTTTCTTCTAAACAGAGAAAGACACAATAATGAGATGTATAAAGAAATTCAGATGCACAAAATCTAAGATTCTTTGTCAAAGCCCTGTTATTGGAATCTGATGAATATTTCAGCAATTTTATGAAATTATAATCTTACTAGAGGAGCCTTAACCTCTGGGAGCAATTGCTGGTAAATCATGTGGAGGAGGATCTTTGCTGTGTCCAAGGGGAGGAATTCATAAAATTAGTTCAAAGATGTATATCAAGGTGTGCGTTGTTAATGAAATAAAAAGCCATTGTCAAGTGCTAGAAATAGGAAAGAGAATGTCTGTCTGTCTGTCTTTGCTTGCTTGGAGGATATTGATTCTGAAGGTCCTATCATCCCTGAGTTTTTCATTTGATGTACATGAATTTATTTGTCATCAGAATTGAAGGCTAACCCCTCGCAAGCCACCCAAGAGCCATTTAATGGAAAGCTTTGGGAAGTCACTTAAATGAACTACCCAAAGTCAGTATGATCTAAGCTTTACAAAAACCGAAAGAACTGTGAATGCTGTAAATCAGGAACAAAACAGAAGTTGCTGGAAAAGCTCAGCAGGTCTGGTAACATCTGTGAAGAAAAAAATCAGAGTTAATGTTTCAGTTCTGGTTACCCTTCGTCAGAACATGATCTAAGCTTTACCTGCTTTAGTGAAGATAAATTTTGGAGCTGAAAGGGGAAATCGATGTCAAGAGTTTGATCCAATATCAGTAAAAATGGCTTCAATTTAAAATGACAGCCCAGATTAAATCTTACATGTTCTTCACCAGAAAGCTAAAGAAACAAACTGGAGATTGGTTCTATGAATACCGAGCAAGAAGGCACAGTACTGATTTTGGTAGTGATATAATCAGAGCATCATTAAGAAGGAAATATACCTGTAAGTACCAGAGTTCTGCATGTTTCAATAATGCTGTATATTCACTGAAGTAAAGGACATGTGTTACTTTGAAGTTCTGTATTGCCCTGAGTGGTGTTGTCAAGCCAACAGCTGTTCCCATTCCTATGTTATATTGACTGTCTCCCTCTCTCCCTCAACTGATCTTTTGCAGAAATTCTCATGCTTTTGTTACATCGAAGCTCACTATTACAGTGATCTCCTGGCTTGCCTCTAAACTTAAATCACCATGAATTGTGGTTATCTAACATCTAACTGTATCTTTCCAAGGCCTTACTCGTACCCACATTTCTATCTTTTTCATTGCTTATGATCCTGCAGAATTTCTTTGTTGCTCGCTGTCTGGTTTCTTTCACATTCCTGATTTTGATCACCCCACTGTGTGGCAGCTGTATCTTCAGATGCCTATGCCCTTACCAAAGACCAGAACTTTCTCCTTAAATTCTGCTGGCTCTCATTGCTTCCTTCAAAAAAAAACTCTTGAAAACCCTCATTTTGGTTCTGTTTTCAGTCACCTGAACTAATACCTCCCTCGGTGAGTCAGTGTCCAACTTTCTTTGTTGCACTGCTGCAAAGCACCTCACATTTTACTACATAAATAAAGCTGCCACTGTCCTGTCGGACCACAAGCCTCTCTCATTAAAGAGAGATAACTGGTGGCAGTTTAACCTGAGGATCACCACACCTCAGGCAAGGGGAGAGGTTGAGAAGGGAGAGCCCTTCATGGTAACCTCAGCCAATATAGGAATTGAACCCACTCTGTTGGCATCACACTGCATCGCAAGCCAGCCATCTAGTGAACTGAATTAGCCTACCCTCAGATTTTACTGTATGAAGATATTAATCAAGGGCAATCTGTTGTTTTATTACTGGGGAAGGATATTTATTTTTCGGTAGACAGTGATTAAAATTTGTCTTTCCCATTTACTGATGCATAACACAGTGATGTAATCGAACTGAGAGGTTAGAGAATGACTGGATAGCATCCTTCTAAAAATCCTGAATACCACCTAATATTTCTTTTACTGTACAGTAAATAAGCGAGAGACAACAGGACAGGTATTACTACAGAAGGCTTTGGCCAATGACGCAAATGCAAATATTGCTGCAAAGGGAAGGCAGAAGACCTCTCAAGATGAAGGTAGAGTTTCTAGGTGAGTGTGATCATAAATTCATAGAATCTAGATGTTTATAGAACAGAAGGACACGATTTGGGCCACAGTGTCCAGGCTGGTCAGTGAAGATCTGACTGCATTCATCCCATTTTATGGCTATTGGCACATAGTTTGGTGGCTATGGTGATGCATATGAAGATCTAAATACTATTTGAATGTTTCAAGAGTTCCTGACTCAATCACCCTTTCAGGCAATGAGCCCCAGACTCCCACCACACACTGGCAACATCTTTTTCTCTCCATTCTCCTCTGAGCCTCTATCTCTTGTCTTAATTCTATGTTCCACTGGTTATTGATCCCCTCGAATAATAGAAAATGTGCTTTCCTGTCCAGCACCCCTCATAATCTGATACACCTTGATTTGACCCCCTCTCAATCTACACTGCACCAAGGAAAACAACCCCAGACTATGCAATCTGATAGCACTGTAGTTGAAATTTATTTTGCATTTATTTTTGTATCATTGATTTGGTTTTCAGTATATTTTAAGTTTTAATTATTTTTGCAGAGGTGTGGTAGAATTGAGTGACTTGGCTATTTCAGAAGACAGTTAAGAATCAGCCACATTGCTGTAGGTGAGATTTCCTTCCCGATAGGACATGAGCGAATGAAATGTTTTCAATGACAGTTGATGATCACCATTACTGTGGTTAATTTATAATTGCAGATTAATTAATTGCATTTGTTGTGGTTGGATTTGAAACTGTGCTCCCAGAACATCTACCACATGGACAGACAAGAACAACAGACACATGGGTAGGCGCCCAGCTGAAAGTTTCCCACTAAGCCACCATCTTGACTTGGAAATAAATCGCTGTTTCTTCACTACTACCAAATCAAAACCCTGAACTCCCTTCCTGATAGCACTGTGCATGTGTCTACCCCATATAAACTGAAGTGGTTCAAGACGGTAGCTTCCCACCACTATCTCATTCAGCGATTGGGGATGGACAACAAAGGTTGGCTTAGAGGCAAGCCTACATCTTACAAACGATGCTTATTTTGTTCTTAGAGATGACAGTGAAGAGCAAAGATAAAATATAGGACACAACCTAGATTAGAAAGAGGTAAAGAGCAATTAAATTGGTAACTGGTGATGAGAATGAGTTTCTCAAAAACTGAAGATTGTAAAGGGATTTTAAAAGGAAAAATGATGATAAAGATGGGAAATCAATGAGATTTCATTGTAATTCAGGAGGAGAAAGGATAAGCATGTAGAACAATATCGGTGGAGCTGGGAAAGAAGAAAAATAGAGAGAAGCTAGAAAAGTTGCAGTGGAAAAGGAGAAGTTGAAGGAAAGATGTGAATAAACTATTCTATTTGATTATTTTAGGAATGTAAAGGAGTGTTAGGAATGGGAGCAAATTGACATCTTGAACCATCTTCAGCTTGAGACTGAAAAATTTGTTGCGGTGAAAAAAGAAGGGAACAGATTGATTGGAAGTACTTCTAGCTGGCATATAGATTTGGGATTTCTGTGTGGTTAGAAACAACAGTGAGACCGGAAATATTGGTATTTAGAATAAGGGTATAGCTATCACATGGATGAAATGGTAGTCGTTGGTTAGATGCAAAAGACACAAAAAGTTTAATAATTTCTGGGACTGAAAGTGCACTGGGGCTCCATTTGCCTTGTTCTGTAACTTCAGCGAAACACCTCTTGAAAGTTTTACCTGATGGCCATTAAATAATTGATCATGAGAACATATGAGCCAAAATAGACCATTCAGCTGATTGGGTCTGCTCTGCCTATTGATGAGATCATATCTGATCTGATAATCCTCATCTCCATTTTCCTGCCTTTTGATTCCTCTTGCTTCCCTTAATGATTAAAAATCTACCTCAGCCTTGAATATACTTAATGATCCAGCCTCAACAGCCCTCTGGATGAAGTATTCCACAGGTCTCCTACTCTCTGAGAAGAAATTCCTCCTCCATTTTGGTCTTAGATGTGTAAATCCTTATTCTGAGATAATGCCCTCTGGTCCTAGACACTCTCTCAAAACAAAATAACCTTTCTGCATCTAACCTGTCAAGTCCCTAACAATCATTGAAGTTGCCTCTCATTCTTCTCCTATGAGCACAGGTCCAGTTTACCCAAACTCACCTCATTAGAGTCCTTCCATACTTAGGAACAAACTAGTGAATTTTCTCTGGCCTGCCTCCTATGTCATAGAGTCATACTGCAATGAAACAGACCCTTCAGTCCAATTTGTCCATGCTGACCAGGTTTCTCAAACTGACCTAGTCCCATTTGCCTGCATTTGACCCATATCCCTTTAAACCTTTCCCATTCATATACCTTTCCAAACGTCTTTTAAATGTTGTAACCGTACCTGCCTCTACCACACCCTCTGGCAGTTCATTCCACATGTGCACCACCCTCTATAATGAAGAAGTTGCCCCTCAAGTCCCTTTTAAATCTTTCTCCCCTCATCTTAAAAGCATGCCTTCCTGTTTTGAACTCCCCTACTCTGGGGAAGAGAGCTTTGCTATTTACCTTTATCTGTGCCCCTCAGCCTCCTACACTCAAGAGAAAAATGTCCCAGCCTATCCAGCCTCTTATAACTGAAACCCTCCAGTCTCAGTAACATTTCTGGTAAACCTTCTCTGCACTCTTTCCAATTTAACAACAACCTTTCTCTCGCAGGGTGACCAGAACTATACACAGTACTCCAAATGTGGCCTCCCCAGTGTCCTATACAACCATGACATGATGTTCCAACTCCTATACTCAGTGGTCTGAGCAATGAAGGCAAGCGTGCTAAACATCTTCACCACCCTGTCTACCTGTAATGCCACTTTCAATGAACTATGTACTTGCATCCCTAAGTCACTAATCTGCAACACTCCCCAGGGCCCTTCCATTAACTGTACAAGTCCTGCCCTTGTTTGCCTTACCAAAATGTAACACGTCACATTTATCTAAATTAAATTCTACCTTCCACTCCTTGGCCTATTTGCCCACTTGATTCAGATTCCTTTGTACTCTTCGATAACCTTCTTCACCGTCCACGATATCACCAATTTCTTGTGTCATCCACAAACTTACTAACTCTTGTGGCACAAGCCAGTACCTGGTGCATTTAGGTCAAAATTCTGCCTAGCAACAACTTTTTAAACCTTTAGATATTTTATACTTTAGATATAAAGTATTAGTATATCTTGCCTCAGATGAGGGGATCAAAACTTTCACTGTAGTCCACTGTGGTCTGATTAGTGCCTTGTACAGTTTTAGCACGACCTCCCTATTTGAAATAAAGGCTAACGTTTTATTTGCCTTCCCAATTCACCAATTCAACTTGTATACTAGCTTTTTGTCACTTACGCATGAAAACTCCCAAATCCTCCTGTGCTGTAGCTTTCTTCAGTATTTCACTATTTAAATAATATTCAGCTCCTCTCTGCTTCCTATTAACGCAAAGAACCTCATATTTTCCCACATTATATTCCATCTGCCAAGTATTTTTCCCACTTGCTTAACTTGTCTGAAGCCTTCTGCAGACTCTGTGTCATGCTCAGCACTTGCCTTCCTACCTATATGTTCACTTTCCCCATCCAGCTCATTGATGTATGTTGTAAATAATTGGAAGAGCTCAAAATGCCACAGGTTGTGATTTAACAATGATGTCAAGAGAACTCTCTAAGCATTGAGGGCGCATGGGGACAGATGTTGAAGTTTCTGCACGATTGTCCTGGATTGCTTTGATATATCATGTTGGAAAAACTGATGGAATAGACTGAGATAAAAACGTATGGAATCCTGAAGCAGCCTTCTTTATGACGGTGCAATCCTTCCCGGCAAAGCCCAATTTTCCTCAACTGACTGCAGCAGGAAAATCTAATGCAGGTTTTTTGCATTGAAGCTAAAATTTATCACTTCGGTGTCGTCACTGATTGATTGTTTGAAGGGTTTCCTGTACCATTGAACGCTTTCTAATCTCAACCCCCTTGATATTAAACAAAGACACAGAATATACAATACAAAATACAGTAATGTTGATCTTTGGCCATGATCATGGTGGTTTTAATGATTTTGTTATTTGTTGCATACAAACAAAAAATAAGCCTTGGATCAATAAAACTGTATGGACGGAATTAATTGATTATTGGGAACTATAAGCAAATCAATAGGCAACATATTTCAATTGACAAAACAGTTTTATAAGTTTGCACCATTTTAAAATAACAAATGATAATATAGATCAATAGTACTTTTATCAACTATCAGTAAAATAACTATACTACAGACCTGTGATTTTTTTTGTTTGATAGCAACCTTTCTGAATCCCAAGAGGCTACTGAGCAACCAAGTGACACAGAATCCACTGGGCATATCAGCATTAGCAGCTACAAGAGCAACTCGCAATCTCCCTCCAAGCACAACACACCCAACAATTCCAGGTAAGGGATTTGTGGAGGATATAGTCTGAAATTATTGTGATCAAATGGAAATGTGAATGTTAATGTGAATTAGCTCATTTTTACCTTAAAACCTATTTTTTGATCAAATCCGTGGTCATCTATATTAAAATATCTCAGTGTCAAATTTTAGAATAGAATAGAATCCCTACAGTGTGGAAACAGGCCCTTTGGTCCAACAAGTCCACACCAAACCTTGAAGCATCCCACCCAGACCCATCCCCTATAACCCACCTAATCTACACATCCCTGAACACTATGGGCAGTTTAGCATGGCCAATTCACCCAGCCTGCACATCTTTGGACTGTGGGAGGAAACCGGAGGAAACCCATGCAGACTTGGGGAGAACGTGCAAATTCCACACAGACAGTCACCCAAGGGTGGAATCAAATCCAGGTTCCTGGCACTGTAAGGCAGCAGTGCTAACCACTGAGCCACCATGTGGCCTGATTTTGTTAAGTAACAGTCCTGGCATGTGCCATGGTGATGTTTTAATATATTAAAGGCATTAGATAAATGTAAATTGTCGAAATAATTGGACATCATTTTGACACATGCCTGTGTTTAGACTTTATTTCTCACCTTAGCTTGCTGAAGTCTTGATGTACCATGCAGCCTCTTTAGATGAAGGGATGAGCTAGTAACTCAGTAGGCCTCTGAGCCTCCGGAGATGCTGCAGTGAAAACCCAATTCAAAGTGTTATGTGGCAGCAATCTCAAGTGATGAATCATAAAATCTCTACAGTGTGGAAAGAGGCCATTCAGCTCAAGTCTGCACCGTCCCTCTGAAGAGCATCATGCTCCGATCCAGACCCCACCCTATCCCATAACCTTGCATTCACCATGGCCAATCCACCTAGCCTGCACATCCCTGGGCACTACAGGGCTATTTAGCATGGCCAATTCACCAAACCTATGCATCTTTGGACTGTGGAAGAAAACCAGAGAACCTGGCAGAAACCGACACAGACACGGGGAGAACATTGCAAACTCCACACACACTCACCCAAGGCTGGAATCGAACCCGGGTCCCTGTGTAATAACGTAGCAGTGCTAACCACTGAGCCACCATTCGCCTTTGCTCTGGGGAAGTTACTGTACTCCATTTAACCCCATTCATAACAAAGGGAATAATATTTATCTCATATTATTCCACTCCATTGAGGTGTACATCCAAAAAATTCTGATTAAGTTCTTAAAATAAGTTTGGATCTGTCTTATTAATGTGCATTCATGCCTTAACAAGGTCCTGTTTGGCCTATGTCTATTTCAAATAGGCCCAAATAGTCCATAGCAAATAGACGGCACTCATCAGTGACCTTAGAAAGCCTCCCACAAAGATCTAGTGATCACTGTGGTATGGTTTCGAACTTTCCCTGTGTTAGCTTAGTTCTAGCGTCAATTGGTACGGGCTCTTGACAGTAACAGTGATATCATCATCAGGCTAATCAGCCAATCATATTGATTAAATCTCAGACAGAAATCCAAGATGCAAAACAAAGCGATTATGAAATGAGATTTCCAGGCCCATGGTGGCTCTTAGCAACTATGACTTTTGTACATTGTAAAAACTCAATTACACTTCACTCAACAAAATTTAAGGTTCTTACAGAAATGTTAAATAAAATGGATGTTCAGAGATTTCTGTATGATTTCCATCTGAAAGGACTGCAATAGTGGAGCCCACAGAAGAGTGGGGAATCACTGACAGCAAGTTCTGGATATTAGTGTTTAATTGCATTTATATTATTCATTTAACACAGCAAAGACAATGGATACTGACAGTTTTGCCATCATTGTAAGAACAAAATCCAGGCCAGCATAAATATCTTTTATTATTGGGTGTCCTAAAATTCTGAGTGGTTGTCATTTAGCACAGAAGATCTAAGAAACCAAATTTCTATTGTGGAATTCCGTACAAATAATAAATATGAAGTTATTTACAAACTAAACACTTTTTTTAACGAAAAATGCTCAAAATAATCAAGATACTATTTATTGAAACTCGAGCTTTTATTTCCAGCATATCTACGCAGAGGAGGCACTGTTACCAGTATTCATACCATTACAAATATAAAATCAGTATCTTATTTATGGTTTAATATAAAATGAAAGCATTGCGGTTTTAGTGTTGAATAAAAATATGCAAAAGAAGATGTCAGGTTCCAACTAGTAACTGGTACCACTGATTGTGTAACAATATATAGTTTCTAATGTAGGAGTCAATTGGCGAATTAAAGAACATGAGAATTGCTCGTGGCTACTGTGTTTAAAATAAACAGGTTATGTCTTAATACACCATTGGAAATTCTATGTTATCATCAAGGAGTCCATTTCTATGGTCACCCTCTGGGCTTGTGCTCTTAGAGTGGATTTCAGCAGGCAATTCAACTGTATTAAGTATTCCAACAAAGCCTGATCCTGTGGTGCACACACACATGCAGCTTTTGTCAGGACTACCAGATCATAATGAAGAGCAGAAGACCTGGCAGAGTCTTCTCTTCGGTGAACTAAAGGCACTGAGGCCTATTGTACTGATCCTACAGCTCAGTACAAGAAACTAAACCCGAAATTTCCTTCTCAGTTACCCACCATGTTTATGAACTGAACCATCGGAGAAACTAAACTTCCTTTCTCTCTGACAGTTGAATTCCTTAGCAATGAATCAGCACAAACAATTTATTTTGTTTCGTGACAATTAGTAATTCCTAGTGACATGCTCTGCCATAGAAAAGTGAGCTCTATGTTATCAGATGTAAACAGAAACCTTGTTATATAAGGCACCTGATATACACAATATTTATTCAACAAGGAGAGTGTGGTTGAGCAAACATCTTTTAATTCCACACATCGTGTGCCATTTGCTAGAGTTCACCCATTTGATAAACATTGTAATCAAATGATGTGGGTGTTTGATGGATCAGGATTTGGACAATGGAAGAATTTTTCTTTAGAAAGAGTGAGGAAATATAGAAACCTTATTATCAGTCAGAATTCCTTTCATTAAATTAATTCACACTTTATAAAATATCCCCAAATTGTGCTGGAGTAGGTTTAGGAACAAAAACCCAAAAATAACGGGTGGGACTGTATAACGTGAGACAATGGTCTTATGGCAAATGGTGGAATTTGAAAATCCAGAATTTAGAGTCTAATGATGATTGTCGATTTGTCTGAAAAATCCATCTGGATCACTAATGTCCTTTAGGAAAGGAAATCTGCCATCCTTACCTGGTCTACCTACATGTGACTCCAGACCCACTGCAGTGTAGTTGACTCTTTACTGCTCTCTGGGAAATTAAGGATGGGGAATAAATGCAGGCCTAGTGACTGATACACACATCCCATGAATGAATAAAAAATACTTTCAGCACAGGTTTGTTCACGTACATATAGTTTAAAAAAACTTTTGAGTAGTATTCTTCCTAAAGCTATCTCAGGCTGAGACCATGATGAGTCCTGAGTATCCTATGTCACCTCTTTGAATATGGGGTTGAATTTCTCCAGGCCTTCTCCCGGTTTGCACTACCTTAAGTAAAAGAATAATGTCATTTGGACAGTTTTCCAGAAGCTTCCAAAGTTTTCAGCCAAGTTCCATGGATAAAAAGGAGTCCCCTCTAGGAAATTCACCCTTTATGTATTGGTGAAGTTTCAGAGAAATTTATGACTTTATTTTGCTCTTATATTTTTCAGGCGTAGTTCGTTAACAGAGAGCAATGCTGGTAATGTTAATGAATTTGCCATTTCTAAGCCCACAAATACTGGTAGCATGACACTTCCAGCCATGACAAAGTCAACCACCGACATCAAAATCAACACACAGTCTGACTTGGACAAGGTAGGACAACGCATTCCTTGCTGTGTTTTAGTTATTCATAGTTTGTGGATATGGCTGGTAAGGCTGCATCAGCTGGCCATCCCTTTTTTTTTTAATATGCAGCTGACTAACCTCTCGGAATACATTGTGTCAATTATATGAATTTTTTTTTTAATCAGTCTGTTTGTGTGTGTTATGCCACACCTCCACGGCAGGTGGGATTTGAAACTCGGACCTTCTGGCCCAGAAGTAGGGACACTACAATTGTGCCATAAGACCCTCTGTCACAGAAGACAACCAGTGCCTTGGGCAGAAGGAGACATGACTAAAGGGCTGGTCCAGGAACTAACCCTGAAATTAATCACAGATTGAGGTTTCCAGGGATCTATACTGTGCCTGTCCTGTTCAAATGTTTGGTAAATAATCGAGGGCTTTAAAATGTCAAGACTATGAGATGACCAAAGTAGTTGGAATTAGAGCATGAAATTACAAGACGGCATTAAAATGAACAACCCTCAGTCAAGGCTTTAGAATTTTTTCCACACACCATAGTGGGAATGGAGAGTAAACTCTGAGGGAAAATCAGTTGGGTTAATTAACTACTTCAAAACAGACCTAGATAAGTATGATTGGAACAAACTGAAAGTTAGGAGGATATATCAGTGTTGTTGATTTTGTTTTTTTCTGTCAGTGGCCATAATCGGAAATGTCCTAATGTGCTTTATTGTTGAATTTGAGTTAAGGATAGCCCTGCCTCTAATAACAATCCTTGCTATTTCTCCCTGGAAAGCAAGGAAAGGTGAGTGAAAAATGCTGAATCCTACAAGTTCATGTAGTTGTGTATAGAAGTTTGCAAGAAAGTAATACAACAAGCTCAGACATAAGACTTTCTGTATAGACTGAATGATCAAATACTCCAAAAGAAGTGGTTCCTGCATCGATTACAGAGTGACACAGTGAACGATGAAGACATATTTTGGGGTACTTTTTAATTATTTTCATGGATTAAAGAGCAGTTTCACGGATATCTCCTTTTAGAATAGAATCTATGTGGATAGAGTTAATCAGAAACTGCATTGAAAGAAATGGATTGGATGTGATTAATAGATATTTTTATTCCACAGTTTTGGACAAACCAGTAATCATGTGAAAGTATGACATACCGATTATTATTTAAACAGAAAGTATATGGATATAATTCTAAAACTTATGAAATGTTTTAACATGTTTCCTTCAGGAAACTCTCTCAAAAAGACACAGCAAAGTTTCAACGGATGAAAGTGTTTCAGAGAACATGTTTAAAAAGAATGCAAAAAGCATTCTGAAGCCTACAGGTGAGATTTGGCACATTGAATTTAACTCGAGAGGCATCAATCAAAAAAGTTTGTTTAAAACATTTTAAAGCTATTCCACACTAAACCGTTGAAAGGTTGGGCTGGGGGCTGGGGGTGGAGTTTCATAAGTTTCCTGAGAGAGAGAAATTCAATCCATGTCCCTTTTAGGCACCTACTAATGCCAATACTAACCTCAATAATAATAATGCCAGTTTTGGAGAAAGTTGATGCTTAGAAGTTGACCATTTCACCACACGGCAACATTTTACGCAAATTGTAGTAAGAGGAAAGAAGGGAAAAAAAATAGCTGTAGAGTATCATGCTCATTCTCCCACCTGTGCTGGTTTATCTGGGGTCCATAGATTTGTTCAATATAGAGAAAATCAACCAAAATTTCTGCTTTTGATTGATATCCAGATGTCCCCCACTAAAAGAAAGCTTTTAGTCTCAGGCTAGGAAGGAATCAAGATTGGTTGTGAACGCGCACTACAAATGAGAATTGCCTGTTGAAAATCACTCATTAAAAATGGGACCATTGATAAGGTAGAAGAGGGTAGTCATGGGCCATGGAATCACAGTCCAGCATCCGTCATTTTCAGGAAGGGAAAAATTGAGGGGAGTTGGTAGGGATGGGAGGTGCTGGTTGAGACAGAACTTTAAAAAGGCATAGGGTACGATTTTCCCACTTTGTTGTTTGAAATTGTGGAAGCTAGCAATCGGCAAACTGCCCACTCCTGAGAGAACTCTGGCTATCATAATAGCCAATCAGCTCATTAAAGGCTGATGGGTGAATTTCTTGGTGAATCACAGTCCTCAACACAGTATGCCAGGCGAGGCCTACCCCTCAGGGATCCTGGGGAGAAGGGAAATGATTTTTATCTTCTTGTTGCCAAGTGGGGATCGTGGAGAGAAGACATTTAGGGAGGGGAGGGCAGGATCAGAAGAAAAGGAAGGGCAATTGTTAGGGCAATTAGAGGTACCCCCCCCACCCCCCTCAGCCTGGCAAGCAGGTCACCATGGTTTCCCATTTGAGAAACTAGGTTCCTTTCGCTCTGACCAGGGAGGCAGCAAATTGACTTTCTCACCCTGCACTTTTTCATCTTTCCATTCATGGGATGTGGGTGCCACTGGCTGGGCCAGCATTTATCACCTGTTCTCAATTGCCACCTGTATTGAGTGGCTTGTTTGGCCATTTCAGAGGGTAGTTAAGAGTCAGCCCCAGTGCTGAGGGTCTGGAGTCACTTATAGGCCAGATCAGCTGAGAACACCAAATTTCCTATTCTAAAGAACATCAGTGAACCAGAGGGGTTTTTATGACATTTGCACTCATCTTGCTTGATTGCCATTAGGCTAGCTTTGTATTCTAAATTTTTATTGAAGTCGAACTGCACTATCTGCCATTGTTGGATTCAGAGCCATGTTGCTGGAGAATTAGCCTGGGTCCTGGATTATTAGTCTAACAGCCTTATCACGACACCACTGCCTCCATTAGTGAAGTGGCAAGAAGGGACCGAATTTCTCAGCTGGGCCAATTCATGTAATTATTTCTCCTTCTTGCCATGTCTCTTACCAGGGAAGGAAAAATACCACCCCAAATCTCACTCTCGAAAGTTTAAAAACAAAGTTTTACCTCTTAAAGAAAGTTGTTTAGGCTACGTTTGTGTTACACCAGAGTTGAAAACCCAAAGCCGTATGCTGACTTCCTGTTTGTCCATGTGCATTGTTCTATCTAGTACATGAAATAACAGAGAGACCTAGGGATTCATGTAAATAATTCTTTGAAGTTTGTGTCACATATAGAGAAGGTGGTTAAGAAGGTATTTAGCATGCTTGCTTTCATTGCTCAAACCTTCGAATAAATGAGTTGGGACGTTATGTAGAGGATGTACAGGACATTGGTGAGGCCTGTTCTGGAGTACTGTGCACAGTTCTGGTTGCCCTGTTATAGGAAGAATATTATTAAACTGGAGAGGGTTCAGAAGAGATTTGCTGGGAGAGTTTGAGTTATAAAGAGAGGCTGGATAGGCTGGGACTTTTTTAACTGGAGCGTGGGAAGTTGAGAGATGACCTTATAGAGTTTTATAAAATCATGAGGGGCATAGTAAAGGTGAATGGCAGGTGTCTTTTCTCTAGAGCGGGGGATTTCAAAACTAGGGGGCATATTTTCAAGGTGAGAGGAGAGGGTTTTGAAAAAGACATGAGAGGCAGTTTTTTTTGTTTTACGTAAAGAGTGGTTCATGTGTGGAATGAACTTCCAGAGAAAGTGGTGGATGTGGTTACAGTTGTAATGTTTAAAAGACATTTAGATAAGTACATGGGTAAGAAATGTTCAGAGGGATATGAGCCAAACACAGGCAGATGGGGCTAGTTTAGGTTGGGATTATAGTCAACATGGATTGGTTGGACCGAACGGTCTGTTTCTGTGCTGTATGACTCTGTAATGTTTCTGGTATGTGAGTTGTTTGTCATTTTAGTTTAGTTTAACACAGCTGCTTAGCTGGTGTCACAGGCAAAAATCAGTGTCAACTTCACTGAAACTTCATAAAATTGAGTAAAGTGGTGACATCACTAAATTGCATAGTCCCAGTCTGTGTGTTGGAAATAATTATTTTGGATTCAAATTCTCTGTTAGATTATAGCAAATCTGTGGTGGACCTTCGCATATCGGATTCTGCAAATACAGGTGATTCCATGGGAGACCGTAGTCAGTCAGTTCCAGGTCTCAATGTGGATCAGGTCTGTACGTGTATACCAGTGCGTGAACATTATACCCTGCATCTAATCCAGTGATTACCAACCTCCACTTTCAGAACATTACTTACTTATATCTACTTCTCCTCCACTTTGGCTGAGATCTCCATCTTTAAAAATCAGTCTTTAGATGTTCTCATCATCAGTTTTGGCTGACTTCTGAAACTATTTTATCCTGAACTTTACGAAGTTCAAGTCTTCACCTACATTAAGTCATTGCCTTCCTTATCATTCTCAGACTTCACAATGTCTCTGTGCCTCTTTAGCTGATTTTAAAGTCCTCCTTTACTATGTTGTGGCCTAGTTGGGAAAGCTTCTCCAGCTATGTACTCCAACCTCTCAATTCTGCTTTACCCATTCCCTCTGCTATACAATCAAAGCTAGACTTCCAGCTGGTAACATCTCTGCTGTTTTTGTCCAAGTCATGTTATCTTATCAGATGTCTCCCTACCTTCAAAGCCTAACATTGGATCCATGCCATGAATTTCTCTTTCCCTATTTTCCATCCACCGCTCAACGCCAAAAGTACTTGCAGATTTTTTTGTTGCATGTGAATACTGTATATACATAAGTGATATTGAGTTTTAGTAAACTATCTATGAATGTACTGAATCAGAGAGCTCCAGAAGCCTAATCATCTATAGATTGAGAAGTAGCTTAGTGGGCTGCTTAACTCCATCTGCCACAGTTTTGCCCATTCACTTAGTCTATCATTATCCCTTTATAACTTTGTGCTATCATCTACATTGTCTACAATGCTGCCTAACTTTGTGTCATCAGTAAATTTGGACGTATGACTTTCTGTGCCATTATCCAAGTTGTTAATAGATAATGTGAATTATTGAAGCCCTAACACAGATCCTTGTGGGACACCGCTGGTCTTTTCCTGCCAATTGAGCACCAACTTATTATCCCTCCTTTGTCGCCTGCCACTCAATCAATTTCCCAGACATATCGGTAATATGCCCTCAATTTGACAGGCTTCTACCTTAGCAATCAGTCTTATGTGGCACTTTATCAAATGCCTTATGGAAGTATATATAAACAACATCTACAAACACTCCCCTGTCTGCTACCTGAGTCACCTCTTTTAAACATTCCGTGAGGTCTGTCAGGCATGACCTACCTGTCATAAACCCATGCTGGCTCTCCCTGATTAACTGAAAAGTCTAACTGACAAATTGAAATTTTCCACAGATAAATCAAGGGAGGGGAGGCAAAAATTAGCTATGATTTGATGGGAGCAAGAAGACAAAATGGCCTACGCCTGCTTCTGTGCAAATGGAAGGTTCAAATTCAGTCTGATTATGAGCATGGAACTTTCTGAAACCTTCGTTCAGACTCTGTTGGAGTTTCAGGTTGGGTTGTGTTCACCACTCTGTTCTGAATAACTCAGCACAGCACAAGAATGAAGAGGGGAGTATTAAGTAGATCTCTTGAGCCTTCTGCACCATTCGATATGATTATACTTGATCTACTTCTCTGCTGGCTTCTGCTATCCCTTCACTCCTTGAGAGACCAAAACTCTCTCTAGCCCAGCCTTAAAAATAGTCAAAACTGGATCATCCTTGGAATAGAAATTTTGAAAGATTCACAACACTTTTTCGTGGAAGAAATTTACCCATACCTCAGTCCTAAATAACTGACAAGCTATTCCGACAAGCTATAATGCTCCCACATTATAGATTTTCCAACTAACAGAAACAATCTCTGCGTCTACCCTATCAAACCCTTCAAAAGCTTGGATGTTTCGATGAGATCACCTCTCATTCTTCTAAACTCTGGATTACATAGTCCCAGTTACCTCAACTTCTTGTCATAGGACAACATCCCAAGGAATACTGAAACTGTAAAATCTTTAGTTGCACCATATCATTAGTATGTTGGCACAAAGATTGGCAAAACAAGGATTCAAGCCAGCAATTCCACATGCTGAATTGTTTTTTGATGTATTTTAAGTTACTTGAGAGAGAAAATGAAGCTTGGTGCCACCAGATTTCCTTTGGGAGATGCAGGTGGTCCAAGATTGCTCTAGAGCACATCTGATTGTTTGCAGAAAAATGAGCGAAGGCTTTGTATTTTCCAAGGTAATAATTGAAAGAAATGAAGGTACCTTTTCTGTAAAATTGAAAGGGGAAGTAAATAAATCATTATGTGAACAATTAGGTCAACTGTGTTGCAGAAATGAATAATCAACATGGGCTTTACTGCTGTAATACTCAGCTGTAATCATTTTACTTTAACAGGAGGAGGAGGAAGAGGACATTGATAAACTGGTGAAAATTCACCGTCTGACAAATGCTCGCCAAAGCCTGAAGAGTGGCACTTCAGTTGTAAGTGAAACAGCAAAATATTGTAATTGTGAATCTCCATATTTATAACTCCTCATGCATGAGATGCGAACAGCAAAACCAATTTAAGATTGCATTTATTGCCTTTACATAGTCAGAAAGGTGGAGGACATGAAGGAAGGACTGGAATCTAGTCCATAGTCACAGGAAGGAGACTTTGTGGTGTGAAGTTCCAATCCAGGACGAGATGGTCAAGGACAGTGTGTTCAAGAAGTGGCCAAATGTTAACGATCAACTTATAAATATTCAACAATACACTAATGGCAGATTGTATAAGCAGAACAGATCCCTGATCAGCCACGTGATGGAAAGAAACTAGAGCCTCCAACATTAGATCCAAAGCTCCAGGCTACACTAAACAAGTGTGTATTGTCACAATAACTCAGACTTCTTACAATGGAGGCACATTAGCTTATTTGGCTGGATGGCTACTGTGGACCACCTTATTTTGTGGTCTTTCCATCTCAAACTGACCAAATCTAATGACTAAGATGTCAAGTGGCCATTGTGCTGCTTGGCTACCATTAATATCCTAATCCAGAAAGTCTTCGTTTGATTTCTGTTCATCTGAGCAGTGTTTTGACTTCCTCTTTGATTCTCCTGTAGCTGAGTTTGGGGATTTAGTGGTTGGGAAAAGGAATTGAATCAATGAATGAAAGTTGCAGTTTTATTTCTATGGGCAAAAATGTTTCTTATTTCTTTTAACGACACTCCTGGTTTTTTAAAAAAGTATTTTACTGAGTGGCTCACTCTGGGAAGAAATGTATGTTTTCTGAATCACGACTCCTGAAAGCACAAACTCCTTGCTAAGGCGATGTTGCAAAGACTCATTGATTGATGTGCACTTTATTCAGAAATAAACTTCTGATTTTGATAAATTTTATCTAGCCTTCCCAGAGAATTCATAAATATACATCTCCAGCAGGAGTCACTGGGTGATGTCAGCAATAGAAATGCTTCCTTCAGTATCCTAGGGATATTCGAACCATTGTTTTTGTCATCAACTAACTCCTCATGGATTGAGGTTTGAACCCTGGTAATTCTGTGGTCTGAATGGCATGAGCTGCTCACTGGTTAAACTGACTGACCATTAAGGGAGAAAAGAAATGTTATTTTTAAGGAAAACAGTAAGATACAATTCTAAATGAATCTATTCTTATTATTTGCCTCATATATAAATCGATCAACCTAGGCCAGCTAACTCTAACAGTAACAGCAACCTTTTTAGATGTATCATTTAACATTTTTAATGTATCTTTTGTAAACAGCTGTATGTAGTTGACCAACTTTTTCTGATCATGAACCTCTACATTTTCATTCTACCTCTACCCAAATAGTAAATCATTGAGAGAGGTTTTCTATTAAATCTTTTTTCATTCACACATGGGATGTGGGTATCATTAGCTGGGCCAGCATTTATTGTCCATCCCCATTTGCCATTGAGAAGGTGGTGGTGAGTTGCCTTCATGAATCGCTGCAGTTTATTTTGTTGAAGGTAGACCCACATTGAGTTAGGGATGGAGTTTCTGGATTTTAACCCAGTAACACTGAATATATTTCCAAGAAAGGGTGCTGAGTAGAAGGGAACTTGCGGGTTGTGGTGTTCCCATGTATCTGCTGCCCTTCTTCTAAAAGTAGTAGTAGTGGATTTGTAAAGTGCTACTTAAGGACCCTTGGTGAATTTCTACAGTGTATCTTCTGGATAGTACACACTGCTACTGTTGTGTGTTGGAGGTGGAGGAAATGGATGTGGCTGCTTTTGCCTGGGTGGTGTCAAGTTTGTTGTTGTTGGAGTTGCATTCATCCAGGCAAGTGGGGAATATTCCATCACATTCCTAACTTGTGCCTCGTAGATAGTGGATAGGTTTTGGGGATTCAGGATGTGAGCTACTCATAGCAGGACTCCAAGCCTCTGATCTGATCTTTTAGCCACAGTATTTACATGACTAGTCCCGTTCATTTTCTAATCACTGATAATCCCCAGAATGTCAAAGCTTGGGGATTCAGTGATGGTAATGCTTTTGAACATTAAGGGGTGAAGTTTGGATTCATTATTCTTGGAAATCATCATTACCTGTCACTTGCTACCTATTCCTGACCTGAGACTGATGACAGGTAGAGAAAGTTCTACATTAACCTGTGTTATCTGATTGAGGAGTATTTTATGGTCATACTGAATATCAAAAGTGGGAGACGTTTTCCCAACCCTGGTATTCCTCAGCTTGAAGGGCATAAAGCTTCCACCTACAGTTCCTTGCCTACAGAAAAATAAATTGAAGCCCCTCAGTAAATGGTACTGACTGTTCTAAATATATTAAGTTTACATAAATTGTGTTGAGAATACCTAAATATAATTTGGATGAAATAAATGTAACAAATGAGGATATATAGTTTGCTTTGTTATTTAATTTACTTTCAGACTAATTTTTGTAATGTTTTTGTTTCAGAGTACAATAGGCAGCATGGTCAGCATCTACAGTGAGGCAGGTGACTATGGCAATGTCACAGTTACTGGGGAGATCGTCTTTCTTCTTAATTATGATCAAAAGAAACAAACACTTAATATACATGTGAAAGAATGTCATAACCTGGCTTATGGGGATGAGAACAAGAGAAGATCAAACCCGTAAGTGTGTGTGGTAATGGAATGCCAAGTGTTTCTAAAAATGCTCTGTGTATTGAAATGAACACACCTCATAAATTTGACAGCAGAATACAGGTATTCTTTCAGTTTAAAGTTTATCATTAAATCTTTGAGTTGTATAATAATTGCCCTATAGGCTGGAGATATGTGGATCATTTTAAACTGTTCAGTGAATTGAATATTTCATAGAATCATAGAATCTGAACAATGTAGAAACAGGCCCTTTGGCCTAAAAAGTCCACACCGACCCTCAGAGCATCCCACCAAGACCCATCCCTCTATAACCCACCTAATCTACACATCCCTGAACACTACAGGCAATTTAGCATGGCCAATTCACCTAACCTGCACATCTTTGGACTGTGGGAGGAAACCGGAGGAAACCCACGCAGACACGGGGAGAATGTGCAGACTCCACACAGACAGTCATCCGAGGGTGGAATCGAACCCAGGTCCCTAGTATTGTGAGGCAGTAGTGCTAACCACTGAGCCACTGTGCACCATGATGTGCACTTACTTGCTAGCGGTTATATTGGATGCTGAAATATAGTCAGAATATCTTGTGTTGCTCACCGCATCCACCCACTTTCCTAAATGTATAATACAACATCTTGCCAGCAATTGTGAAAGGCACTCTGGCAATCGCCTAAATATTCGAGGTCTTTTGATGTGTACAAAGACTGCATTTTTTAAAAAAATTCATGTGTGGGATTTGGGCAACACTGGCTGGCCTTTTTATTTTATTGCCCATCCCTAGTTGCCCTTGAGAGGACAGTGGTGAGCTGCCTTCTTGAACTGCTACAGTCCACCGGTTGTGGGTTGACCCACAATGCCATTAGAGAGGGAATTCCAGTATTTTGAACCAGCGACAGCGAAGGAACGCTGATACATTTCCAAGTCAGGATGGTGAATGACTTGGAAGGGAACTTGGAGGTGGTGGTGTTCCTATGTGTCTCGTTCTCGATGGAAGTGGTCATGGGTTTGGAAGGTGCTGTCTGTGGATCTTTGGTGTATCTCTGCAGTGCATCTTGTAGATAGAACACACTGCAGCTACTGAGCATCAGTGGTGGAGGGAGTGGATGCTGATGGATGTAGTGCCAATCAAGCAGGCTGTTGTGTCCTGGATGGTGTCAAGCTTCTTGAGTGTTGTTGGAGCTGCTCCCATCCAGGCAGGTGTGGAGTATTCCATCACACTCTTGTAGATGGTGAACAGGCTTTGGGGAGTCAGGAGTTATGTTACTCATTGCAATATTCCTAGCCTCTGACCTATTGTAGTAGCCACTGCGTTTATGTGGTGAGTCCGGTTGAGTTTCTGTTCGATGGTAACCCCCAGGATGCATGATGAGTTAGTAAGGCTTTTGCTTCTTGTGAAAAACTGTACTAAAAAATTAATTTTGCACATGTGAGTTAAAGACTAACAACACTACAGTTACTGGAACAAGTTTAGATCATGCTTTATAGATGAGTTTATTGTCTGGATGTAGTTGTAAAACAAAATGTTGCTTCGATTCTGCCTGAGCACTGCATGTTTCAGCACAATCTCACAAACCCTACGAACTGCACTCATCTGCCATGCTTTTCAGCTGACATATCTGTTTTCTTCTGGTCTCTCTGGGTGTAATTGCCTTTTACTAGCAAATTAAAAGACAGTTTTGCACAGCTGGATGCCCACGGAGGATCCATATAGCCGGCAGAAAAAAGAACTTTAAGCCCATCAGTTTGGGATAGATTTCAAACTCAAATCCCAGAAGGCTTATGCCCCTGTCTAAATGAATTGGCCACATAGTTCTCTCCAAATTACCAGCTTAAGATTAGCTAATGATTATAATGAAGTCATTCAAGCCTCCAATTATTAGTACTTTGTTAGAATGAAAGGAACGTGTCAAGAGAGAGGATGGAAGGAGTGTAAGGTATGATCAGCAAAAACATGTTTTTAAACATTATTCAAACTAAAATTGTTAATTTCTTCATTACCAATTTTTCTAAAAACCCACAGCTATTGAATCCTTGCTTGAGGTGTGGTGCTGTGATTGATGATCACCCTCTGTTATCTCGCTAAGATCTAACAAATTATGAGGGTGTTGACAATATAGGCTAGCTATTTGGTCATGCCCTCATCGAAGTTCACTCATGCAGTTCTGGTGAAGTGTGCTAAGAGTGGAGAGGATGGCCTATTTCTCCAATCCATTACCCAGTGTTCCAAGAACAAATATTTAACATTTTGAGCCTTACGTCGAAAGATAATTTGGAATTATTTGATCACATCTTTCTAGAATACAAACCCAACCATCTTATGCTCACCGCATCTGAAAGAAATCCAAAACCCTAGTAGATGCTGGAAAACTGACATTAAAAACACGAAATGCTGGAAATAATCAACAAATCGGAGACTATCTGTAAAGGAAGGAAAGTTTTGATGTTTCAGGCATAACCCTTTGTTACAGTTCTGATGAAGGGATATGGCTGAAACATGCAAAGTTTTCCAATTTATAAAGTGAATTTGGAAACATTCTTATTCAAGTCCCATATCAATGGTAGAACTGATAAACTAAGTTGACACTGCTGTGTTATGCAAAATACTGCACTGTCAGATGAGAAAATCGCATGGAATTATTTTGAAATGCAGCGAGCTGTCCTAGTGCTGTCTAAAATTCCTCCCTTTAACCAGAAATATCATGTCTGGTCATTCATTTCAGGCTCTAAGGGATTTTGCTGGCGCAGAATACCTGCTAGATTTGTTGACTTAACAGTTATCATGCGTTATTGTAAAACACATTTGAGATGTTTAGATGTAGAAAATATGTTTATAAACACAAATAATGGGGTGTTTTGGTAATAAAGCTGCTCCTAATGTTTTACTGATTTTATAACTATAATATCAGTTTTGATTCCATACAAATGTACCAATTATTTTTAAAAAGGCCATGGTGTAGGGAATGATCTAATAATCCAGAACTCCATCTTAATTTTCTGCCACATGGATTCAAATCCCACCACAGCAAATGTGAAATTTGAATTCAATTTGCGGAAAAAAAAACCTGAAATTGAAAATAAAAGCTAGCCTAATGGTGGCCATGCAATATTGATGATTGTTGTACAAAACCCATCTGTTTCAAAAATGTCCTTCAGGGAAGGAAATCTGCCATCCTTATCTAGTCTGGCCAACATGTGTTTCTAGATCTACAGCAATGCCGTTCACTCTGAACCTCTCTCTGGGCAATTAGGAATGGCCAATAAATGCCTCATGGATCAACATAAGTAAAAATTTCTGGAATTTGAATGGAGCCAAATGCAGTCCATGAGTTAAAAACCAGGCCTCTGTTACTATTATCCACATCAAACTCTGTCAGTCTCTACAAACCAGAAGTACACGTCCGGAATGACACATGCCAGTTGGTGGGAAGGAATGTTAGCTGAGGCTGAAGACAGCTGATGCTGTCACGTTTCAATCTATTAATAGCAAGCAATTCTTCAAAAATAGGATAATTAATTAAAATATATTTTTTAAAATCTTTTTTTCTGCAGCTACGTGAAATCTTATCTTCTACCAGATAAATCCCGACAAAGTAAACGAAAGACTACAGTTAAACGTAACACAACTGATCCCGTCTACAATGAAACCCTACGGGTAAGGCTCAAAAGGCAGTATGCTTGTCTTTGCAATTAGCCTTGAAGAAAACATGTTTGTGGGATTTATAAAGAGAAGGGGACAAGTGGGCTACAGTGCTTCCAGCTGTACTGAAAATTCAGGATTCCCACATCAAGGAAGAAATCATGTAATCTAGGACTCCAAGACAGAGTCTGGTCTGAAGGAAGTGTCAATCATCAGATTTAAAAATTCAAACAAGAGTTTGATTCAGAATCTCTGTGGTATTTTAATAAAACTTCCAAATGATTTAAAATTAAATGCAGTGGGAACACGCTTTTTGGTTTAGCTTTGGATGCACAGATTTCAACTTACCTTCAAAATATGACAGACCTCAGTTAAGCATTCAGAACAATACCTGATTGTATACTTATTATTGGCATCCCTTTTTCATCATTCAATTTCCTGCACCAAATATCATTTGCTAGTTAAAAAGGTAGTTTGGTGACCTGTACCTCACCCAGTAGGTTTCAATATTGCATTTCTCTCCCGGGACCTGAACTGGCACCAGTCTGGCCTATTGGAATATTGGCAGTTTAAAGTCAGCCAACCTTGTGAAAGAGTGATTCAATTGTATAAACTGTCCATAATTCCATACGTGTTGTTAGCCTTTGATGTAGGAAATTAAAATGTCCAGTGGGAGCATTACTCTAAGTTTGTTATTGAGAAAATAAGGAAATAGTATATGCTGTATGCAGAGTAAAGCTATAATTGACCTGGTTTTGATTCATTGGAGAGGGTAAAGATTATTACTTCAACAATTTACGTCATTTTCTCTATCAATATTGAAAGAAGATAAACTAATTTTTATGGCCGTTGCTGAGTGTGTTTTGGATGTTTGTTTTTTAATCAGTATGACATTACAGAGTCGCAGCTAATTATGAGGACGTTGCAACTTTCTGTCTGGCATTATGACCGTTTTGGGCGCAACGCTTTTCTGGGAGAGGTGGACCTCTCATTAGATATTTGGAACTTCAACAGTGAGTCTGAGGAGTGCCTTCCCCTTCATGGTAAGGTAGGAGCACAAATCTTTAATAAAGCTTCTTTTGACAGTCCAAAAGCAGCAAACTGATTTTCTAAAACCAAACTAGTGCATACGCTGGAAATCTGAAAGAGAAACAAAAGTGCTACAGAATTTCAGCAGGTCTGGTGGCATCTGTCCAGAGAGAAACAAAGTTAACATTTGAGTTCAATATGCCTCCTCCTCTTTTGAAGAGACCTGTCAGACTCCATGTTAATTCTGCTTCTTGCTCCATAGACGCTGCCAGACCCTGCCGAGTTTCCCCAACATTTTTTCTTTTCAAACTTTGTTCAGGGAGAAAACAGTTCACTCTCAAGTTCAGGCAGCTTCTGTCAGGCCCAGGGAAAGAATGTGAATGCTTGTGGTACTGTTAAATGTTGGAGACAGATGGATTTCTGACTTTCATATTTTTTGTAGTAGTTTGTTGTAGGGCTTGAATAGTTCAGTTGGCTGAACAGCTGGTTTGTGATGCAGAGTGACACCAACAGTGCAGATTCCATTACCACATCAACTGAGATCACCATGAAGGTCCCACTTTCTTGACCTCGCTCCTTGCTTGAGGTGGGGGACCCTCGGGTAAACTCATCACCAGTCATCTCCCTTTATTGAGAGAGCAGCCACATGGTCCTCTGGGATCGTGGTGACTTTGATAGAAACAAAAGATCCACTTTAGGAATCTTTAAAGTTCTTCAGAATGCCAACAGAAAACATTGAAATAACACATCCAAGTCCTGTACTTGATGTTCAGACATTCTGATGGCTCATGAGTCCAACTTCTCCTCCATATCTCCAGCTGTTAAATAAGCAAGGAAACTTTGGGTAAGTGACGTGAATTTATCCACTGGATATAGTTTCTTTTACTTAATTTATCCACACAGTTTGCAATTTGAAACCTCTCCATTAAATTTCTCTTGGCCTTTGCTGCTTAAGAACTCCAAATTATCCAGATAACTATAATTCCTCATCCCTTCGATGTACTTATAGAAGAACAAGGTGGCTTTGGAGAGACAGTATAGAACAGATTTATTGGAACAGTTCCAGGATTTAAGGATTATGATGTGGAGAAATTGGAATGCTTCTTAAAAGAGGGAAGGCGAAGTAAACATTTAATAGAGGAGTTTAAAACCATAAAGGGCTGAATATTACCTTTTATTTTGGCTAAATGCCGTTTTCCACTGGGTTTCTCTCCAAGACATCTCTTGAGTTTTCTTGTGTGATAGTTCCAAACCCATCTCAGTAGCTGGCACAGTTCAGTGACAGTATCTTGGGACATCCTCAGCCTGCACCAACATGGAGTCCCATTCATACACAGGTAATGGCATTGAGGACCGAAGACTCTGGCTGTCCTCTGTCTTCACCATATCATGAGTGGCCCTTCAATTGCAACCTCTTCATATGGTGGAAACTGTACAGTTTCTGCGCAGGTTACAGCTGGTTCAGGGCTGGCACATCCATTCCTCCTCCCTCACCCTGCACCATTGATGCATGGCAAAAGTTGTAGTGATGACCCACTGCAGTTGCTGGCTCCATTGGTCACATTGGCAATGAACCTATTTGGGCAGCATATGCATGAGAAGAATTTCTGACCAATGGGAACAGTGAAAAAGTTGCATGCCTCAAATGACAGGTTGACATGTTTCTCCATAGACACGCAACGACCCATTTTTGTAATTCTGCCATTGGACCTTGATTTTGTTGAGTGCTTCACCGAACATGGTGAAGAGTGATAGTAGCAGAGAACAAATGCTGCATGAGCACTAATATCCTTCTACCTTAGTCTCATATAAGGCATGAAAGTCATCATTGCATGTAAGAGAGTGAGTCTTCCCTGATGTTTACAGTTTGGGTGGAGAGAGAATCCACTTCATGCCGTTTGCACTCTAGGATGTCTTGCCTGAGCTGTGTTTACTATGGGCCATGGATGCCAGGTGGGCATGATTACTTCACAGGAATGTCTATCTGCAATTTGTAAGGGCAAATAATACATTTGCCATTATCTGCGGCCAGCATTTGAACCCCAGATACTTGTACACTACATGAATTTCATACACACGGTGAGATGATGTAAATGATGTGAAACTGCTCTCTGCAGATGCTGTGGACAGCCATCTGCTGGGCAAAAGAGGATCCTGCATTTTTGGCCATCAAAACGGCAGAGGCTCTGGGCGTGCTCCCAGACAATTTCCATCAAAATGACAGTGGCCCTGAGCTTGGTCCTAGATAATTTCCACATGAAAGTTGCTATTAGCAATTGGCAGATTATGGAAGGCCACACCAGTTACTCAATACATCCTTGTCCCATTCCCTGCCTGAATCTCCATGTAACCACCTACCCAGCACTCCCTAGACAGCCCATTTCAGCCAAACCCTAATTTGTAGCCATTCATCACATTGAACATACTGTCCTCCTCATGCCCTGAGCCCAATCACTGCACCTTGCTACTATCCACTTTCACAACAATGGTGGTGACTTTCAGCTCCCCCTACCTGTAGCATTGCATCTCCTCCCACTGGCTCTATCCCTCATGTATCGGTCACCCACCCACCCCGTTACCATTACTGTCCTCCCTTCCACAGCCCAGGCTGCTGCCTACAGCCCTCCTGGCATTGAGCCTCTCCATCTTCCTTTCCCTACTGTGCCCCCTGATATTCATACATTTCCCCTCACTCATTCCAAGACTGCCCATGACCCATGACCTGGAATGTACAGATATGGGACCCCTGACTGTGATCACCCCCAATGGATAGGTGACTGCACCCAAGTCTTTGGACTCTTCTTTTTTGAATGTAACAAAGTCCATAAAGTTTTAATAAATTGTTGAAATCAACAAAAAGCAGCTGATGTATTCAGGGACAGAATTGTTTTTCAATCCTTTGAGACAGAAACTAGATGGGAATGCAGCAAGCATGGGTACTTACATTGGTTTGAACACCACAGTGTTGCACTTCAACTTACCCCATTATGAATGATCAATAGTAAATTACTTTTTTATATACCAATTTTTTTTCCATCTTTAGATTGCCTGCACTTAATAGTTTGAACTCTCAAACTCTCCCAAATTTATTCTAAATGTAAGCTGCATAACGGTAGTCATGGAAAGATCGATCAGATTTTTCTCCTGTGTTAAAAGTGACTGGTCTGTGTTCTACACTTATCCACATCAAAGTGGCTGAGTTAAAAAACATGCATCTATGGTGCCATACGATGGAGTTCTAACTTAACGCAACACTGTATCCGCCCTCTCATTCCATAATCCAAGTGGAAATCCTCAAATTAGTTCCAATTTGGTTTGTACACAAGTTTGCACCTTTACTTTCACTTTTAAAGATAAAATTATGCTTTTTGTTACAACAGTTAATACATCTACAAATTGTGAAGGAACAAGCATTCCAATAATCTTACGATGACACTTTCAACCATTTGGTTTTCAGCAGCATCACAGAGTATTTTACAGATTGTGTTATCCCCACCTGCAGACTAGTACACCCTCTCTTGAAACATCTAGTTTATCACCAAATGTTACTGAGGATCTTTAAGGAATGCAAAAAGGTGGAATGAGAAAAGCTCTTTTGGCTGATCAGAACCACTCCCACCCCCAATTTTGCATTGTCTTGGCATCTTGATTCATTTCAATTTTCCGATGTAGGTGATAAAATAGATAAAGCTTCCAAGAATCCACAATTGCAAACTTCATCCTTTATAAAATTACCATGTTATGAATAGTGTGCTCCTGTTGTAGGTGATAAAATAGATAAAGCTTCCAAGAATCCACAATTGCAAACTTCATCCTTTATAAAATTACCATGTTATGAATAGTGTGCTCCTGGTGTTTAGTAACTATGAAAACCCTTACATTTAAGTGTATCCTTATGATCTTCATCCCTGTTTTTATCCAGATATTTACCTGACACCATCTTAATTAGTCCCAAGTACATTTTATCTTTTAACATTGATTCTTCAGAAGTTCACCATCAGTTTACACTGTTGAAATATGACATTGACCGCAAAGATGTGAGATTTAGCCACAGTATATGTTGGAACCAACAGTAAGCGTAAGGCTAGAAGAGAGACTATCAGACATGTTTCAAGTGAAGTAATAGTATGACAAGGCTGTGTACAATCACCTAAAACTATTCTCTGTACACCAAACAAATAGGCATAAAATTACATATACTTCTAGAGTAAACACAAGAGACAAGAACATAACAAACTTGTGGTATGCTGACAACACAATTTACAGAATCAGAAGCAGCTTTGGAGTGAAAATTGAAGTGTTTCATATTGGAACAGTAGGTTTGTCTACTTAAGTCATTAAAAACACAAGGAGGCAAATGTGATGCAGAAATTAGGAGAATAGAGAAAGGTAGAAATAATTTTATGAAAATAAAAGATATACTCAAGATTATACAGGGAATAACCCATAAGATGCTATAGTTTACCCACTTTGATATCCACCTCAAAATTTGGACAATAAATAAAATGACCTGTGGAAGAATGTGGAGGCCAAGGTATTTTCTAAAAAATCCATACAAAGCATAATAAGCCAAATTGAGATATTAAACATCGTGGCAGCAAAAAATCCTGAATGTGACATTCAAAAAAGAAAAATATCAGTATTTCAGCAATTTGATCATAGCAGGAGAACTAGAGACATGTCTTCTGGAGCAAAGTGGAGGGAAAAGGAAGAGTGGTCAACCTAAGTGTGGTTGGATGATGGATGTCGCAGAGTAGTTATTACAGGAGATGTGTGAGGGTGACGTGAGACAGACAAATGTGACATATCATGTAAGCAGATCTGCTAGTGTAGCCACAAGCAGCAGAAGCAGAAGGGTATTTTTGCTAAAGAGGAAGGGAATTTAATGTTTGAGGCAAGATTCCCTTTCACATGCAAGTAAACTGGGAGGAACAGCTGTCAATCATTTTCAGGAATCTTGATGGAACGTTATGACAGCCGGGCACCTTGCTAAGCAGTGCTGGCCCTCCTGGTAAATTAGACCCTGTGCAGAGTAGAAATCCCACTTGTGGGATATCTACTAGCCAATCTGAAGCTGTTAACCAGCGGCACCACCAGGAATAGTGGCCACTGTTGGTTCTGCACTCTGACCTTCAATAAGGATAATTACTGGATCCCCAGAGACAGCAAGTAGTGGGCAAATGGGATGGAGCTCACCAACAGAATTTTTATACATTCATGGGATCTTACCATCACTGGCTAGGCCAGTATTTATTGCCTGACCTTAAAATGCCCTGAAAAGTAACCCAGATTGCTGAGAGTCTGGAATCATATGTAGGCCAGACCAGGTAAGGAGGGCAGATTTCCTTCCCTAAAGAAGTGACATTAGTGAACCAGATGGGTTTTTAACAATGATCACCAATGGTTACGTGGTCGCCATTAGACCAATTTCTTTTTGTTACTCCTGATTTTTGTTCAATTCAAATTTCACTATCTGCCAGGTAGGATTCAAATCCTTAACCTCAGAGCGTGAGTCTAGTGTTCTGGATTAGTAGTCCAATGACATTACCACTATGGTCTCGTCTCCCATTAACAGTTGATAGAAAGGACAGTGAGCCGCACCCATTCCAAAGCAACAGACTTTGCTGACCAGTTGTCCCACAGTCAGTTTCCCAGATTGCTGGTAGAATCTGTGGGGTGGTGAGATGAAAATGATGTGTCAGAGGTTACACAAAGGTCGGATTTGATGTTAGGCTGGGAAGGCCATCCTACCTACATCGAGGACTCAAGGTCTCCACCCAACAGCCTCTACTGCTCTGAATATGCCAACAAAGGCTGGGGTGTGGACAGGGCAGTGGATGGACGACATCTCTACCCAATGGGTGATCTTCATGAACCACATCATGTTACATGGTAATTAATTAGATAAGGAGTAGTTGTAGCCAGCCTTGCAGACTTTCGAAATCCAGGACAATTTGTCATCAAATGGTTAATTACCCAGGTATTAATGATTTATTCCAATAGATTATTCCTGCAAAGCTTTGCAAACTATTGCTAGCAAACTTTGATTAATTGTAAAGTTCTTATTTTTTAATCTTTTTATACCAGTATGGCTTAAAAGTGAATCACAATCACAGTTCCAGACTGGTTCAGGTGCCTTCTCGCTGTACATACCAAAGACTAGAAGGACATGAGAAATAGCTTTTTCATGTGAACAATCTTCATTACTGGCATATGATCAAAGTTAGGGAAATTACCACTGTACCAAGAGTAAAAGATTTGGACAGTTTGGCATGCTTTTAAAGTATTGGTCAGAAATTAAGTAATATGTTACTTTTCACATTCTGCTACTGAGCAATTTTCATTCTGTCTTCATGCCTCTCAGCTCTCATGTAACAGCTCCCACTTGTGTGACAATTTTATTTTATTATTATTTTATATCTGCTGGTTTGAGAGGACAGGAATGACAGAACTAACCCCAAATTTTACAGGCCAAAAGGAAGTGATTAAAAGCATATTGTGTCCTTTATATTCTATGTATTTTGTGCATAATGTCAGGTTTCTCATTAGAAGGAGTAGAAATCAGCTATACAAGTTTATTTTTGCACTGAGCACAAGCAACAAATAAAAGGGACAGAGCCCAAGTTGTTACCCATGACCTGAGAGTCACAACATACATTCCCAAAATTTCCTCATCGTCATATAATACACAATTTGAAAGGTTATTTTACTCCATTTTGATGTTTCAGGCAAATGCAGAGACTGGCGTTATCCCTCCATATAAAGGGGAATTGGTACTTTCAATAAAATATATTCCAATGGCTAAAAACGTTGCTGCAGACAAGACTAAAGGTAAGATGATAACAAATGTTGTTTGCTGGTTTACATCTAATTGATTCACCACACGAGGAGTTTCCATACCTGGGCTGCAATCTATTATGAGCAAAACATGTAATACCCAAGAACAAAAACAGAAGTTGCTGGAAAAGCTCCACAGGTCTGGCAGCATCTGTGAAGAAAAATCAGAGTTAATGTTTCGGGTCCGGTGGCCCTCCCTCAGAACTGGGGAAGGGTCTCCGGACCCAAGACATTAACTCTGATTTTTCTTCGTTCATGCTGCCAGACCTGCTGAGCTTTTCCAGCAACATCTGTTTTTGTTCCTGATTTACAGCATCCATAGTTCTTTCAGTTTTTATTACGTAATACCCAAGACTCTGTCTTTCCAGTAGGCAAGACCTAATTGCGCACAGGCACACTTTTAACAATACCAGATGTGCTATTTATGATTCAGTTGGTCACATTTCATCCAAAGAGGGAAACTTAAGAATTGTAAATGTATTTTTTGATTTCTGTAACAGTTTGAGACAAGACGACAAGATTAGTACCGTTTTAGTGCCAAGCACCAATGAAATCCAATAAAGTGGGCAAGTGACTAACTCCTAATTGCCTTGTTAATGATGCCTGCTTTGTGTGAATTAGCCAGCTTACTGTCTCCATACATAACAAATTACAAACATAAGAATGCCGTGTTTTCCCTTACTAACTGTGTCACTAAATTGTTCCATGAATAGCGTTATCATTTTGAATGCAGCTGACTTTTACCCATGAGAATCATTTTGGGTAAGAATTAAAAATAACTTCCAGCAGAAGGTTGAGCTACCTTTATCATCTTGCTAGATGCAGTCTTATCAACGTGCAACGTAAAGCCAAGTCTTGTAACTGCTATTATCTCTTACAGGAAAGAAAACTGTAAGGTCAGCAGAGGGTGGGGAACTATATGTGTGGATTAAGGAAGGCAAGAACCTTACACCAATGAAAGTTGGAGGGACGTCAGACACTTTTGTCAAAGGGTAAGAGTCAGCAATGTGTTTCTGAACAATTTACTGTAGCTAAGCTAAATATCCATGTTTAAATCAGGTGGATCTCTTCATGTCCTCCAAACATTTGTGAGCAGGAGAGGAGAATGACTGAAATATGAAACAGAACATGGAAAATTTCAAGAGAAAAGTCTCCCACTTTTAAATAACATCACAAATTATGGCCCCAGATTTGCTTGCCATTTTTTTCTTTGACAGGTTTGTGCCTTAAAATGACGGTTGTGGTATTATTGCAGGTGATTGCTCAAATGGGATTCAGTCTGCTGGTTTCTGCCCCATAAATACTGTCATAACTACAGCCTTTTAAATACTGTGGCCATAACAGCAGGTCAGAGGTTGCTAGATGACACAAGTCAGGGCGTGGAATGCTCCTCAATTGCCTAAACATATGGAATGCCAATTACATTCAAGAAGCTTGACACCCTCTGGTTCAAGGTGGCCTGTTTAATTGGCACTCCATCCACCAGCTTCATTCCATTCACCAACAGTGTACAGTGGCTGTAGTGTACACCATTTAAAAGATGCATCACAGCAACTCCCCAAGACTACTTCATACTAATCCCATGACCTTAACCATCCAGATGGCAGCAGATGCAGGGGAACACCACCATTCGTAAGTTCCTCTTCGGTCCAAATACCATGCTGACTTGGAACTGTATCTCTGTTCCTTTACTGTCGTTAGGTCAAAGTCTTAGAATGGGAATTCCAACAGCACTGGGGGTGTATCAATGCCAGATGGACTACAGCTGTTCAAGGGGTGGCCCATGACCACTTTCTCAAACAATTGTTGGCCTTGTCAGCAACACCCACATCCCACAGAAGGTTAAAATCTATATTGATATTGCTTGAATTATGATCTAGAGCCTTCTATGTATGTATTCAAATAGCAGAATTGTTTTAGTTTGGAGTCTGCAAGGTGAAGAAACTTCTGAGAAATGTTTGGTGAGAGCTGTTACAGCACTTTCCCTTGCACCTGGATGGAGCTTGACTGGCCTCTGACAATCCATAACCCCACGAGAATATTTTTGATTTCAGATGGAGCTATTGCCTATTATATCTCTGGGGTTTCTGGTTTTTGGTGCCCTGTTGTGATCTCCTAAATGCCATTTGCAAGCTGAGATGTAAGGCTGAATGCTACTGCCTTAAGAAACAATCTTGTTTGGCTATAATCCAGCCATCACCATTCAATTAGTCCTCGAGCTGCATGCTTATTGATCACACAGTTAGGTGGTTTCAGACAGCTGCATGCATGCTAAAGCCTATGACCTGGGGGGGCAACTTGCAGGTGGTGATGATGCCTTTGACCTTCCAGATGGTAGTGGTCATGGATTTGAAAAATGCTGTCTAAGGAGCCTTGATGAATAGTACACACTGCTGCCACTGAGCATCAGAGATTGAGGGAGAGAATGTTTTGAGGATGTGGTACCAATCAGGTCGGCTGCTTTGTTCTAGGTGGTGACAAGCATTCGGTCACATTCCTGACTTGTGCCTTGTAGATGGTGAAACAGTTTTGAGGGGTCCAGAAGTGAGTTGCTCACTGCAAGATTCCTAACCTGTGACCTGCTCTTGGATCCCCAGTACTTATATGGCTAGTCCAGTTCAGTTTCTGGCCAATGGTAAAGCCCAGCATTTTGATAATGGGGGATTTGGCAATAGCAATGCTGTTGAATGTCAAGGGGCAACGGTTCAATTCTCTCTTGCAGATAGTCATTGCCTGGTACTTGTGTGACACAAATGTTACTTGCCACCTTTGGGTCTTGGGTTGTTTCAGTATCTGATGAGTCATGAATGATGCAATCGTCAGTGAACATCCCCACTTCTGACCTTATAATGGCGGGAAGGCCATTGATGAAGCAGTGATGATGATTGGGCCAAGGATGATGAACTCTTAGAGGTTCCCTGGAACTGAGATGACTCAGTCTGAGACATGACTGCCAAACAACATGGAAATTTTTGTCTGATTCCCATTGACTCCACTTTTGCTAAAACTCCTTGATGCCATACACAGTCACCCTGCCTCACTATGCCGAATATTACTGTAACCAGTGGAGAGCTTTTCTCTCCGATTCCCATTGACTCCAGTTTTATTTAGGCTCCTTGATGCCACTCTCGGTCAAATGTAGCCTTAATGTCAACTGCAGTCACTCTTGCCTCTGGAATTCAGCTCTTTTGCCCATGTTTGAAACAAGGCTGTAATGAGATCATAGTTGAGTGGCCGTGGTGAAACCAAAACTGGGTGTCACTGAGCAAGTAAGAGAGTCAGAGTCATACAGCACGGAAAGACCCTCCGGTCCAAGTCATCCAAGCCCACGATGTTTCCCAAACTAATAGTCCCACTTGCCTGCATTTGGCCCATAGCCCTCTAAACCTTTCCTTTTCATGTACCTGTCCAACTGTCTTTTAAATGTTATAACTGTACCTGCATCTACCATTTACTCTGCCAGTTCATTCCACATAGGAACTAGCCTCTGTGAAAACATTGCCCCTCATGTCTCTCTTAAATCATTTTCCTCTCACCTGAAAAATATGCCCCCTAGTTTTGAACTCCTCCATCCTAGGGAAGAAACCTTAGCTATTCACCTTATTTATGCTCCTCAGGATTTTATAAACCTCTATAAGGTCACCCCTCAACCATCTCTGCTGCAGTGAAAAAGGTCCCAGCCTATTCAGCCTCTTTTTATAACTCAAATCCTCCTGTCCAAGTGATATCCTGGTAAATCTTTTCTGAACCCTCTCCAATTTAATAATAATCTTCCTTTAGTAGGGTGACCAGAACTGTACACAGTACTCCAAGGGTGACCTCACCAACATCCTGTACAACCTCAATGTGATGTCCCAACTCCTAAACGCAATTGTCTGAGCAATGACGGCAAGCATGCTAAACGCCTTCATAACTACCTGTGATGCAACATTTAAAGAACTACGCCTCCTAAATTGTCATCCAAATCGTTTTATATAAATGACAAAAGTGGACCAAGCACCGATCCCTGTGGAAAACCACTGGTCACAAGCCTCCAGTCTGGAAAAACAACTCTCCACCACCATCCTTTGTCTCCTACTATCAAGAAAATTTTGTAACCAGTTGGCAAGCTCTCCCTGAATCCCATGTAGTCTAATTTTTACTAATCAGTCTACCATGCAAAACCTGGTCAAAGGCTTTACTAATGTCCAGGTAGACAATATCTATCTCTCTACCCTCAATCATTTTAATTACATCCTCAAAAAAACTCAAATCAAGTTAATGAGGCACTGCTTCCCATGCACAAAGCCAATTTTGACTATCCCGAATCAGGTCCTTGCCTTTCCAAATGCACGTAAATCCTATCACTCAGAATCCCTTTCAACAACTTACCCACCACTGATGTCAGACTCACTGGTCTGTAGTTCCCAGGCTTCTCCTTACAGCCTTTCTCATATAAAAGACACAACATTAGCCACTGACCAGTTCTCCAGCACCTCACCTGTGGTTATAGATAATACAAATATCTCTGCTGGGGACACTGCAATTTCTTTCCTAACATCCTACAATGTCCTGGGATACACTTGATCATATCCCAGAGATTTATCCACCATCATGTTTTTGAAGACCTCCAGCACCTCCTCTTCTGTAATATTTTCAAGATATCAATATTTATTTCCCCCCAAAGTCCCTAGCCTCCATTTCTCTCTCCACAGTAAAAACTGACGCAAAATATTCATTTAGTATTTCTCCCACACAGATGACTTTGTTGAGCTTTAACGAGCCCTTAGTTGCTCTTTTTACTCTTAATGTACTTGTAGAATCTCTTTGAATTATCTGTAACTGTATCTGCCAAGCCTATCTCATATCGTCTTTTTGCCTCCTGATTTCTCTCTTTAAAAAAGATTATTGCTGAGCAGGTGCTGCTTGATAGTATTGTTGATGACACCTTCTATCACTCATGATTGAGAGTAGACTAATGGGATAGTAATCAACTGGGTTGGATTTGTCCTACTTTTTGTGTACAGGACATATCTGGGCAACTTTCCACATTGTCAGGTTGATGCCAGTGTTATAACTGTACTGAAACATCTTGGCTAGGAATATGGCAAGTTCTGGAGCACAATTGCTATTGCTGTACTATTGCTGTAGTGCTGTCAGGGCCCACAGTCTTTGCAGTAGCCAGTGCTTTTGGCCAATTCTTGGTATCATGTGGAGTGAAGAGATTTGGCTAAAGACAGACCAAGATGCATCACACACTTGGCTGAAGATTGCAGCCTTATCTTTTGCACTAATATGCATTATTCTCCCATCTTTGAGTTTAGGGATAAATGTGGAGCTGCTGCCGCCGCCTCCTCCATGGAGTTGCTCAGTGGTCTTCCACTATTCATGACTGGATGAGGCAGGGCTTAGATTTATCCTTTGATTGTGGAATCACTTGGTTCTGACTATCGTTGCTGTTATGCTGTTTGACAAGCAAGTCCTGGCTTGTAGCTTTACCAGGATGATACCTCATTTTTAAGTATGCCTGATGTTGTTCCTGGCATGCTCTCCTTCGCTCTCATTGAACCATGGTTGATCCCTGACTTGATGGTAATTGTAGAGTGGGGATACGCTGAGCCACAAGGTTGCAGATTATGTTCAAGTATAATTCTAATGCTGCTGGTGGTCTACAACATCTCATAGATGTATGATATTTCTCCCATTTAGCACATGATAGTGCCACATAACAGAATGGAGAAGCTAGATACATCAATGGCTGGCAGATTGGTGAGGATGACATCATATTTTTCTCAGTCAGTTCCCTCATTACTTGGCAGAGACATTGAAATCCCCCACAAGAACAGAAGTTGCTGGAAAAGCTCAGCAGGTCTGGCAGCATCTGTGAAAATAAACAGAGTTAACGTTTTGGGTCTGAGGAAGGGTCACCGGACTTGAAACGTTAACTCTGATTTTCTTCATAGATGCTGCCAGACCTGCTGAGCTTTTCCAGCAACTTGTTTTTGTTCCTGATATACAGCATCCACAGTTCTTTCGGTTTTTATTGAAATCCCCCACCGAGACTACGTCCTCTGCCTTTGCAACCCTCAGTGCTTCCTCCAAATGGTGTTTAATGGGAGAAGTACTGTTTCAGCAGCTGAGGGAGTGCAGTACATAGTAATCAGCAGAAAGTTTCCTTGAGCATGCTTGACCTGATGGCATGACACTTCAGGGGTCCGGAGTCAATGTTGAGGACTCCCAGGGCAACTCTCTCCCGATTGTATACCACGACACCGCCACCTCTGCTGGGTCTGTCCTGCCGATGGGACAGGATATTTCCAACTATGGTGATGGTGGTGACTGGGATGTTGTCTGTGAGTGTGACTCTGTCAGGCTGTCGCTTGACTAGTCTGTGAGATAATTTCCCCCAGGCATTAGGAAGGAGGACGTTGCAGGGTTGCATATACCATTATTGTTTGTGATATCTAGGTCAATGGCAGGTTATCTATCCAGTTTCATTCCTTTTCCAAAACATTATAGCAGTTAGACACGACTATGGGGTTTGCCATGCCATTTAAGAGGGCTGTTAAGAATCAACCATGGTGCTGTTGTCTGAAGTCGCAAGAATGTTAGATTGGATTATAAATGGCATTTCTATTTTATCAATATTGCTCTCTTCTGACTTAGAAAAGTGAGGAAGATCTATAATAATTTTCCTTAGAGTGTTGCTAGATTATAACTAAAGACAATCTTAATCTCTGTTTCAGGTATCTACTACCATTCAGAACGAAAACATCTAAACGGAAAACTCCTGTAGTGAAGAAGACATTGAATCCTCACTATAACCACACCTTTGTGTATAGTGGTATAAAGCTTGAGGACTTGCAGCATGTTTGTCTGGAGCTGACCGTCTGGGACAGAGAACCCTTGTCCAGCAATGATTTTCTTGGAGGAGTTCGCCTTGGAGAAGGAAATGGTAGGAGAACAGAGGTTGGGAGGGAAGTGAGGAAGGATCTGACCTGAATTTCAATAGATAATTCAATAGATAAATTGGTATTTATTGAGGTCAGGTGAAATTTACAGAAAGAATGAATAATGGTGAGACTAATGAAACTTACCAATTTTTACACAATAATTTAACAGAAACTTGAGGCAAGCACATTTAGACGTCAGAGCCTAGATGTTATGCATCATGCGCCACACTATGCTGCACTGTAAGCTACTCAAAAAAACAGCATCTTAACATATGCATCCCTATTCAAATATATTGAATGTCATTTAGTTCCTATACTTGCATGGTATATTTGAATGTATCGCAGTATGGAAAGGTGCAGTCTACTTCAGTCTTTGTGATAAGTCTTAATTACTGGCAAACAACCACTGTGGCATTGAAATTTAACATCTAGCAGTGTGGAATCTTATTTCTCCATATAGCAATTGGAATTTTAAAAAGGTAAATATAACAACAACTTAAATGTTTCATCTCTGTTTCTAGTTTGTTTACTCTAGCAAATTTTGACATTTAAACTCACTTTGCTTCCAGTTTCAAGTTCTGCACTGTTCATCAGTGAAATCTCTGTTAGCAGAAGCAACTGTGTGAAATTAAGTACCCACGTCTCAGATGCCCTTTAGAGACTACACTCTAGCAGTTGATCTTGGGTCTCTAGCTAAAGCAACTTTTAATGCAAAAATTCATAGAAATTAAATGGCCTGAGAAAAGGACTGGTCTGTGTTCACTGGTTCTAGTTAATTCTAGCCCATTGGCTTCTTCAATCTTAATTTGTTCAAAGATTGGTGCGGGAGGAATGAGTTTGAATTCATGGGACATTGGCACCAGTACTGGGGTAAGAGGAAGCTGTTCCTTTGGGACGGACTACACTTGAAGTGTGCTGGGACCGGAATACTTGCTGAATTGTATAACTAGGGCTTTAAACTAAATAGTGGGATGGGGAGTGGTTCAGACTCATGAAAATTAAAAAAATCAAACTAAGGAAAAAAACAAGACTGTAAATTAGAGATGAGTCTGATTGTTACCAGAAAATAAAAGGAAGGTAAATTTAAACAACCTCTCCTAGTCTTGTAACTACTTTAATCTAATGAAGCTAATTAAGTAAACTGGTTAGATCTGGTTCTTGCGTGTCTTGTACTATAAAAACAAAGCGTATAGTGCTCCCAGCATGAGTGTGCAATCGCTGGGAGCTGAGCTAAGTGAGAGTTTAGGCAAGTGGGGGAGGGAGGCATTGATGTGTCTTGTTCTGGCCATTTTTGCAAGGCTGCTGGTTAGATCTAAGATTGGGCTTAGGTGAATACCAGGCTTTGTTGAGGAGGGCAAGCAGTGACCAGATAAGGATAGGACCTTTTTTTCTCTAAGTCTGCTTTGCCTAAGTCCGCTGGTTGTTAAAGAGGCGGAGATGGCAGTCAGTGGTATGCTCCTCCTGTCAGATGTGGGTCATTGGAGAGCAGTTGACTGCAAGAAGTGCGTCTGGTTGCAGCTCCTCTCAGACCACGTGGATCGGTTGGAGCAGCAGTTGGAAGCACTGAGGAGTATACAGGAGGCAGACAGCGTGATAGTTAGTAGCTTCAGGGAGGTAGTCACACCGCAGCTACAGTCAGGTAGACAGGCGATTGCCAGGAGAGGTAGGCAGGTAGTGGAGGAGTCTCCTGTGGCTATCCCCCTTTCAAATGAATATACTGTTTTGGATACAATTGGTGGGGGTGGGGGTGGGGGTGGGGATGGACTCTCAGTACAAAATAGAAGCAGTTGCCAGATCTAACTCAGGGCACAGACAGGCATCTCTACGGTCACGAGCGAGATTCCAGAATGGTGTGTTGCCTCCCTAGTGCCAGGATCAAGGATGTCTTGGAGCAGTTGCAGCAAATTCTCAAAGGGGAGTGTGAGCAGCCGGAGGTTGTTGTACACTTAGGTGCTAACAACGTAGAGAGTAAAAGGGATGAGGTCCTGCAGAGTGAATAAGGAGTTAGGCAGGAGGTTAAAAAGCAGAACTTCAAGGGTCGTAATCTCTTGATTTCTCCTGGTGCCGGAGACAGTAGGAATAGGACAGATGAATGTGTGGCAGGAATTCAGATTTTTGGATCATTGGAATCTCTTCTAGGGCAGAGGTGACCTGTACAAGAGGGATGAGATGCACCTGAACTGGAAGAGAACTAATATGTTGAGGAGATTTGCTAGAGCTAGTCCGGAGGGTTTAAACTAGTCTGGCGGTGGGGTGAGACTCTTAGCAGTCGTGAGACAAGAGAGAAGGTTGAGGCTGGTACAGAAGTTAAACACAGCAAGCTAAATAGACAAGGCAGGCAAAAGCACAGCAGGGAACAAGGGAGACCTGATTTATTTCAATGCAAAAGGCCTGACAGGTAAGGCAGATAAACTCCAGGCATAGATGGGAACATGGGACTGGGATATCATAGCTATTACAGAAACATGGCTGAGGGAGAGACAGGACTGGTAGCTTAATGTTCTGATATATGGATGCTAAAGGAAGGACAGAAGGGGAGGCAAAAGAGGAGGGTAGTGGTGTTTTTGAGTAGGGAAAACATCACAACAGTACTAAATATTTTCCTGCAGAATCATGCAGTGAAGCTATCTAGGTGGATCCGAGAAATGAGAAGGGGGTGATCACTGTGATGAGATTGTACTATTGGTCCCTGAATAGTCAGCAGGAAATTGAGACGCAAATATGTAGGGAGATTGTAGGTAGCTGTTGGAATAATAGGGTTGTAATAAATGAAGATTTTAACTTGCCAAACATAAGTGGGACTGCCATAGTGTTAAGGGCTTGGATGGGTAAGAAGTTGTAAAGTGTGTTCGGGAGAACTTTCTAAATCAATATTAGATGGCTCTACTAGAGAAGGGACAAAACTCGACGTCCTCTTGGGAAATAAGGCAGAGCAAGTCACTAAGGTGTTAATGGGGGAGCACTTTGGCACCAGTGACCATAATTCTGTTAGATTTAAAATAGTTATGAGATAGGCATGAGATAGCTTTGGCAGATAAGGTTAAGGAGAAGCCAAAGAGATTCGCCAAGAATATTATGGCCAAAAGAGTAACCACGGAGAGAAAAGGCCCCTAAAAGATCAACGAGGCCATCTATGTATGGAACCACAGCTGACAGGAGAGATCCTAAATGAACATTGTCAGTATTTACCGTGGAAGCTAGGGAACTCGGAAATAAATATTTTGATGTCTTGAAAAGAGTTATTACAGAAGAGGTGGTACTGGAGGTCTTAAAATGATGAAAGGTAGATAAGTTCCCAGGACATTGTAGGGCCTTAGCAGAGATATTTGTATCATCTACTGCCACGGGTGAGGTACTGGAAGACTGGAGTGGGGGGCTAATATGGTGCCATTATTTAAGAAAGGCTGCAAGAAAAAGCCAGGGAATTACAGACCAGTGAGCTTGACATCAGTGGTGAGTAAGTTGTTGGAGGGGATTGAGAGATAGGATCTACATGTATGTGGAAAGGCAAAGACTGATTAGGGATAGTTGACATGGTTTTGTGTGTGGGAAATTGTCTTACAAACTTGATTTGAGTTTTTTTGGGGAGGTGACTAGGAAGGTAAATGAAGGCAGTGTGGTAGACGTTGTCTATATGAACTTTAGCAAGGCCTTTGACAAGGTTCCGTATGGTAGACTGGTTAGTGAGGTTGGCTCATATAGGATCCAGGGAGAGCTAACCAATTCAATACCAAATTGTCTTGATGGTAGGAGACAGAGGGTGGTGACAGAAGGCCGTTGTTCAGACTGGAGGCCTGTGACCAGCAGTGTGTTGCAAGGATCAGTGCTGGATCCACTGTTGTTCGTCACTTATGAATGATTTGATTGAGAATATAGGAGGCATGGTTAGTAATATGCGGATGACACCAAAACTGATGCTGTAGTGGACAGGAGGGTGGTTATCTAAGAGTACAACGGGATCTTTATCAACTGGGCTGAGGAATGGCAGATGAAGTTTAATTTCGATAAATGCAATGTGTTACATTTTGGTAAGTCAAACCAGAGCAGGACGTACATAGTTAACGGTAGGGCCCTGGGTAGCGTTGTTGAACAGAAACACCAAGGGATGCGGGTACAGAGTTTCTTGAAAGTGGCATCACTGGTGGACAGGGAGGTGAAGGTGGTGTTTGGCATGCTTGCCTTCATCAGTCAGAGCACTGAGTACAGGTGTTGGGATTCCATATTACAGCTGTACAAAACATTGGTAAGCCACATTTGAAGTACTATCTACAATTCTGGTCACCCTGCTGTAGGAAGGATATTATTAAACTGGAAAGGCTGCAAAAATAAAATTACAAGGCCATTACAGAGACTACAGGATTTGAGTTGTAAGGAGAGGCTGGAACAAAAGGCTGAGGGGTGACCTTTTTGAGGTTTATAAAATCATGAGGGACATAGATGAATTGAATAGCTAAGGTCTTTTCCCAAGGGTAGGGAAGTCCAAACCTAGAGGGGCAATTTTTCACAGAGGGTGGTACATATATGGAGCGAGCTGCCAGAAGAAGTGGTAGAGGTGAGTACAATTACAACATTTAAAAGACTTTTGAACAGGTGCATGGAAGGAAAAGTTTAGAGGGATATGGATCAAATGCTGGCAAATGGGACTAATTCAGTTTCAGAAGCCTGGTCAGTGTGGATAAGTTGGACCAAAGGGTTTGTTTCCATGCTGTACAACTCTGAAGGGACAAAACATGCAAATATCATTTTAGACAAAGAAACTGTACAGGAGTGGGGAAAATTGACAGTAGGACAAAGTTAAAGGCTTTGAATCTGAATGTGCGTAGCATTTGGAATTAATGAGTTAACAGCAGAAATAGACACAAATGGACATGATTTGGTGATGCTTACTGAGATGTGATTTATAGGGAGACGTAGGATTAGGAGTTGAATATCCAAAGGTACTCTGTTTTGGAAAGATAGAAAGAAAAGGAGTAGCTATGTTAGTAAAGGAATATAGTGCTGTATTGAGAAATAATTTGGGCATTGGAGATAAGACATTGAATCAGTATGGGTAGAAATACAAAATAGTAGGAGAAAGCAGTCTCTAGTGGAGTAATCAATAAGTCCTCTAACCATAGTTCCACAATAGTACACAATATAAACCAGGAAATTCTGCAGGCTTGTAAGAAAAGCACAACAATAATATGCATTTGGACTGAATTAATCAACTAGGCAATGGTAACCTTGAGGGAGAGTTCAGAGTGTATTGGAGATTGCTTCTTAGAGCAATATGTTGGGGAACCAACCAGTGAGCAGGTTATTTTGGACTTAGTATTATGTCATGAGATGGGATTCATTAATGATCTCATAGTAAAAGATCCTTTGGGAAGAGCGATCATAGTGTGCTGGAATTTCAAATTCTGTTTGGGATGTCTCACAAAAGTAGTTGCATAGGCATAAGAACAGATATGGCCTTTAGTGGATTGAGTTGAAAGACTAAAAGGGAAAACAGTTGATGTTGTGGGAGACATGTAGGGAGATATTCAATTCTTCTCAACTGAAATATATTTCAGGAAGGAAGAAAGATTCTAAGAAAATAGCACCCATGGGTAATCAAGGAAGTTAAAGCTAACAGAAGGGCAAAAACTAAGGGGTATCATATTGCAAAGGTCAGTGGCAGGCTTTAAAAGACCAACAAAGGGTTACTAAGAAGGTTCAATAAGAGCGAAGGTTAATTACAAAAGAAGCTTGGCACACAAATATAAAAATGGATAGCAAAATGTCCATCAGTATATTAAAAGGAAGAGAGTGAATGTTGGTTTCTTGAAAGATGAGACTGGGGAGTTAGTGAGGAACACAAACAGCAGAGACACTATATCAATATTTTGCCTCAGTTTTCATAGTGAACGACACTGAAACCATTCCAAACAGTAACAGGTAAAGCAGAGACTGTAGAAAAGGAGGAAGCCCCCTGACAACAATCGCTATCACTTGGGGAAAAGTACTCAGCAAACTATTAGAATTGAAGGCAAACAAGTTGCTAAATCTATTGACTTATACCCTAGAGTCTGAAAAGGAAGTGGCAGCAGAGATAGTGGACGCATCCTTTATAATATTCTAAAATTCCATGGATTCTGCAAAGGTTCCAGTGGTTTAGAAAAACGCAGTGCTCTTATTCAAAAAGGGAGAAGGGCAGAAATTAGGAAACCGTAGATGAGTTAGTTTAATGTCTGTCACTGGCAAATTATTGGTATTCATTAAGAAATTAGTAAAGAGTCATTTGGAAAGTCAAAATGCAATCTGTCAGAATCATGGTGATTTCATAAAGGGTAAATCATGTTTGGCTAATTTGCTAGAGCTCTTCAGTGATGTAACAAGCAAGGTGAATGATGGGGATCCTGTAGATGTTGTATATTTGGATTCCCAAAAGGCATGTGTTAATGTGGCTACACAAAAAATTAATATCCAAGGTAAGATCACATGGGGTTGGGGTAATGTTAGCTTGGATAGAAATTGTCTAACAGAAAGCAAAAGCATAGTCTGAATAAATGGGTCTTTATCTGGTTGGCAAGATGTAACTAGTAGGGTTTCCACAGGGTTTGGTCCTCAGGCCCCAACTATTTACAATTTGTATTGATGATTTGGATGCAGAAATAGAATGTACTGAACCCAAACTTCAGATGACAGTAAAATAGTTACAATAAAGAAATAAGATATTTATAAACGGAAATGGACAGATTAGGTATATGGGCCAAAATTTGGCAGATGGAGTTTAATGTGTATAAGTGTGAGGTTATCTGTTTTGTCAGAAGAATAAAAAAACTTTATCTAATTGAAGAGCAACTTCAAAATGCTTGGTACAGCAGGATCTGGGTGTTCTTGTGCATGATTTGTAGAAAGCTAGTATGCAGGTATAGCAGGTTATAAGGATGGACAGTGGAATTTTAGTGTTTGTTGCAACACATTGGTGAGCCTACAATAAAAACCGAAAGAACTGCAGATGCGGCAAATCAGGACCAAAAGCAAAGTTACTGGAAAAGCTTAGCAGGTCTGGGGAAGTTCTGAGGAAGGGTCACTGGACCCGAACTGTTAACTCTGATTTTTTCTTCACAGATGCTGCCAGACCTGCTGAGCTTTTCCAGCAACTATGTTTTTGTTCCTGCAATATAGAGTACTGGGTATAGTGTTGGTCCCTTTATTTGAAGGATGTAATTACATTTGAAGAGGTTCAGAGAAAGTTCACAAGAATGAGAGAAGATGTAGTTGAGGTATATAAAAGATGCTAAAGGGAATTGACAAAGTAGATGTGGTTTCCCCCTTGTTTGACAATGTGGAATGAAATGTCCTATTTTTAAGCAAAGGGCTGACTGATTTAAAAGAGATGAGAAGGAATTACTTCACTGAAAGTGAACCTGTGGAATTCACCAACTCAATGTGGTGGATTTTGGGACAGTGAATAAATTTAAGAAAGAGGTAGATAGACTTGTATGTGGTAATGGGGACAGGATAGGAAAGTGGAGTTAAGACTGAAATGAAATCATCCACCATTGTATTAACTGGTCCAGGCTCGAGGGGCTGAATTGCCTACTTCCGCTCCTAATTCTTATGTAATTGCTTATATAAATTGTTGAGAAATCAATTCTATAGGGTATCTAAAACTTCTGTGCTGTAACTTGTGACGTACATCCCCTGACTCAATATTTTGCACAATTTATTCCAGGAATTAGCAACGGACAACAAGTGGACTGGATGGATTCAACAGGGGAGGAGAGCAACATTTGGCGAAGGATGACGCAGTACCCTGGTTCGTGGGTTGAAGGAACATTATTACTTCGTCCACACATGACTGGGCACAGCTAGTCAGGGAACAACATATAGAAGTTTATTTCCAGATAGTACATTCTGAATTACTAGATTGCTACCAGAGAATTGGTCGAGTTCTTTGGTTTAAAAAGAAATATTGAAGGCATATTTTATCCCTGAAACAACAAAATTTCTATCACACCAACATTTGCTGCCAAAATGGAGGGAATATCTTTGATTAGAAACATATAGGATTAGTTCCAGGAATTCACAGAAACAAGAATGAAACTTGTACTAGGTTTAGATCTGACTATGTCAAAGGTGAAGGAGAAAAGAAAATTTTATGTTAAGAAAATTGATTCTTGCAGCATGTATGCATTTGTTTGTGCTTCTTTTCCTTGCCATGTCTAATAAGCCAGATTAGTAATGAAGGTGACCATAGTAAATTCAGTCCCATTCCTTATGTTTAATTATTGGTTAGATCATTGGATATGGATCTCACATTCGGATATTAACATTTTGGCTACTCATTCAAACTACTGCTGTACTTCACGTTGGTTTTGTTGTAGGAAATTGTTAGTTGGAATTTTCTTTTGCCCCCACCAAGACCTAAACATCAGTGATATTCTCTTATTTATCAGAAAACTGACTATTGCCTCCACACTAATTTTAATCAATCTATGCAGAGCTGCTATTAGACACCTCTGGAGCAGGTGGGACCTGAACCCAGGTCTCCTGCCCCAGAGGTAGGGAACACTACCACTGTGCCACAAGAGCCTTACTCTGTGGCAAATTTGTAATGTCAGTATTCATTTCAGATTCAACAATCAGAATTAAATAATTGCCTTCTCTTCCTCTAATTACATGCATTGCCACAAGATTGTGAAGCTATCGCTGCTGCAGATACACACCAAACAGTCAGATGTAATCAAAATAGCACGCCAATAGTGAAACTCTGAGTCTAAGTCAACTTGAGAAACTAAGATAGAGATTGTAATTTGTTTAGTTTCAATCCAGAGATATTCACATTAAGTGGCATAACAAAAACCTGTAGTTAAGGAAGACATTTATTTGCAATGTTCTACACTAATTTACTAAGCACATGGAACACAAGACTATATAGAAGTAGATTATGTAAAGTTTACTTGGGAGATGGAAGAGGTCAGGGTAACTGCAAATTTAACATATAATAAAACTGGGCTTCTTACACTTGAAACTAAATAACATGTTTGTATAACAATTCCTATTTTAACGAAAATGTATGCATTTAAATAAATTCACAACTTTGTTAAAATACCAGTGGTCTTTCAGATGGAGTGCAATTTTTGTTGTGCTTTAACCACAATGTTTCTTCCAAGCCTTAGTACCAATGCTGTTCATTCTCCTGGTTGATAATAAGGCCCAGGGTCAACTTCCATGCTTTAAATAAACCAATAATTATTGGTTTAGTCTGGCATGGTTCTTTTGTTCTATTCCCTCTCACCATTTCTATTTCTGCTGAGCCTTCCTCACTTGCGCTTTCCAGTGGCCTCCAAAGATGTCAAGAAATGGAGATTAGAACTAAAATTATGCCCATCAACAGCACATATTCTTGCATTACCAACACAAATCTTAACCTCGTGGCAGTTCACGGATTTAGAATAGTCTTAACAGGAAAAAAATAGCAAAAACATAATACACTTCAGCTTCAAGACCTACAAGGCTTGCAAACATTATGTTTCAAAAAGGGAAATAATTATGATGCAGTTATTTAACAAATTCCCAACAAGTTAAAAGATTAAGTAACATTTCTTCAGGCATCCAACTACAGCAACTTATGTGATATACCTTTGAGGGCTACCTTCATGATGTCATCACTGTATTGTGGGATGTGATCTAATGTCTTGGCCTCCATCTTACTGAATCAAATTGCAACATGACACACTGAGGGAAGCATGCTACGGTACATACAAATTGCTCAGCTTGAGTTCAGACACAGACATGCCCATGACTGTAGCGTATGGAGAAACCAGGTGTGATAATAAAAGTTAATCAAGTTCTTCAATACTGTGTGACCCAGGTCTCATATGTTACAGAAGCAAACATAAACATCACATCACAAAAGGTGAAGGCCATCAGCTACGGTAACAGTGTACAGGAAAGTGCCAATGCTACTTATAAAAGAATCCTCACTGAAGATTAGAGAGCCCTCGGATGACCAAACACAATAAGTTTATATGCACATGGTTCTCCAACTTGAATAACTAGGAGGCAGACTTACCTTCTTTCTACTTAAAGTTCAAAATCCACCCAACCAGAAGCCCTAACACAGCTTCAACCTAATTACAGACATAAAAGTTAAAAGCAAAACTTGCAGCTGATAGGAAGGGCGCAATGGTCCTGCAATTAGACTTTTAGGGAGCTAGGTAGAAAGTTAACAAACAGGATCTCAAATGCAGTAATCTAGAGATTACTGCCAGTGACTACAGGAATAAAAGGATAAGTCAAATGAATGTGTGGCTGGAAGGATAGTGCAAGGAGGGCTTTAGATTCCTGAGGAACTGAGACTGGCTCTGGGGAAGCTGACACCTGTACAAGCTGGATGGGTTGGACCTGAACAGAACTAGGACTGAGTTCCTCACAGGGTGTTTTGGGAGGGCTTTGAACAATCTTGGCAGGAATGTGGGAAACAAGAAAGAATAATAGAGGGAAAAACCAGGGTTTGCAAAATACTTGGAGATGTAGCTGACAGCAAGTTAATAAGGCAAGGTGCAGTAAGGGTAAAGACATACAATTTTAAATCAGAATTACTATGAATTTGAATGCACGTGGTATCCTCCACAGCCACATCCTATCCACATATTGATAAAGTTTTCTTCAGCACATTTGACAAATTGTTTGCCATCCAAGCCTTTAACGTTATGGTAGCCCCAGTCAATAGTTGGAAAATTAAAACCCCATTATTACAACCTTATAATGCTTACATATATCTGAGCTCTCTCTAGATATTTGTTTCTCAATTTCTCCCTGAATAGTGGGGGCCAATAGTACAATCCCATCAAGGTGATCTTTCCTTTCTTATTTGTAGTTTCTACCCATATATTTTCACTGGACAATTTTTCAGAAATTTCTTCTCTAGTTACAGCAGCGATGTTTTCTTTAATCAAAAACGCCACTCCCCTCCTTTCTTGCCTCCCTTTCTATTCTTCGTATAGAATCTAAACGGCCTGCCAGCCCTGTCCATCCCTCAGTCAAGTTTCTGCAATAGTTATGATGTCCCAATCCCATGTTCCTAAACATGCCCTGAGTTCATCAGCCTTACCTGTAAGACCCATTGCATTGAAATAAATGCAATTTAATTCTTCAGAGTTACTACGTTCTCTGACTTTCTCTTGTCTTTCTTTTCTATTTGCCTTGCTCTTTTCACATTCAGAACCTTCCTCAATCTTCCTATTTACAGTGTTACTTAGAATCCACTCCCCATTCAGCAATATAAAGTCTGCCTAAATGGAACTAGCAAATCTCCCTGCTAAGATATTGGTCCCTTTCCAGTTCAGGTTAAGCCCATCCTTTTTGAACAGGTATTTTCTGCCCCAGAAGAGACTCTCATTATCCAAAGGCCTGAATCCCTGAACAATACACCATTTAAGCCACTGATTTACCTCCTTTGCCCTTTTCCTTCCCTCATTCGAGCTTGGCATCGGGAGTAAACCAGAGATTACTACCTTAAGGTTCTATTTTTTAAATCTTCTGCCTAATATCTTATATTTACTTTGTAAAGCTTTAATCTATTCCCTAAAAATGACGTTCCTACCGACGTGTACAATAATTTCTGGCTTCTCAATCTCCCCTTTAACAATATGCTTGAAATGTTCAGAGACATCCTTAATCCTAGCACCTAGCTAAGAAAGCAAAATACCATCCTAAATTTACGTCCACTGCCACAGAAAATCCTGTCTGTGCCCCTGTCAGGACTGTCCATTGTAACAATTAGTCTTGCTGGTGTTTTTTTGAAAAGCGAGCATAAAGGATTGATGGGGGGGCAACACTGCTAAGTTGGTATACATGGACTTTCAGAAAGCGTTTGATACACGCCACACAATAAACTTGAGATGAAATTTATAGATCATGGAATAAAAAGGGCGGTAGGTAGTAGCGTAGATATAAAACTGGTTGAGTGATATGACACAGACAATAACGATCATTGCATATTTTTCAGGCTTGAAGGCTTGTAGTGGAGTTTCCCAAGAGTTGGTATTGGGACTCTTCATTTTCCTGATATATGTTAATCATCTTAATCTTGACGTGCAGGGGACCATTTCAAAGCTTGCAGATGACATGAAATTTGGAAAAATTGTAAACTGCAAGAACAGTTTAGAACTCCAGAAGGACACTGACAAGTTGCTGGAGTGGGCAGATAGGTAGCAAATGGGGATCAATGCAGAGAAGTGTGAGGTGATGCATTTCGGTGGGAGGAACATTGAAAGACGTGATAAAAATATGAGTTATGATTCTAAATGCGATGCAGGTGCAAAGAGACCTCAATTTATACATGCACAGATCATTGAAGATGCCAGGATAGGTTGAGAGAGCAATAAACACAATTTCTTTGATTGTGTGAACAGGGTGATAAAGTACAAGAGCAAAGAAGTGATATTGAACTTGTACAAGATAGTTGTTAGACCTCAGCTGGAGTATTGTGTACAGTTCTGGGTGTCACGTAGGAAGTATGTAAACAGATTGAAGTACAAAATCAATTTAGAAGAATGGTTCCAGGGATGAGAAATCCCAAATGAGGATAAATTGAAGAAGGTTACTCTTCTCCTTGGGGAGAAGGTGGCTAAGAGGAGATCTGACAGAAATTTTCAAAATCATGAGTGGGCTAGATAGAGTAATTAGCTAGAAACTGTTCCTGCTCGTAAAAGGCTCATATAGCTGCAGACATGATTTGCAAAAAGGCAAATGAGATGGGAAAAAAACATTTTCATACGGCAAGTAGTTAGGGTATAGTATGCACTGGCTGGAAGTGTGATGAATGAGTTTCAATTGAAGCATTCAATTGGATGATTATTTGGATAGTAATAAAGTGCAAGGGTATGAGCAAAAAGCATGTGATATGGTAAGTGCAGTTACTCAATTGAAGAGCTAGTGCAAATTCAGTGGGCTGAATGGCCCACTTTTGTGCTGCAACTCACCTACAATTCTATCTGTTCATGCCTATGATACATATCTGCTTGGGATTTCTTTGGAAAAAAGGGCATGTTGTGTTACGTCTCACAGCAGATATGCAATATACCTTTCAGAGATATGCCCATGATGTCATCATCGTATCATAGCATTTAACCTAAATGTACAAAGGTCTTAGTCTCCATCTTACTGAAGCCTCTTGCAAATAACATGCTGAGTCAAGGGTGCTAAAGAACATCTGAGTTGCTTAGCCTAAATCAAGGCACACAAGTGCCTATGAATATAGTATACATATGTAGATACTAGATGCTGAAATAAAAGTTACCCATTGAATTCTTCAGAACTACGTGACCATGTCTCACATTTGTGTTACATGAAATAAGACAAGCATCAAATCGCGATAGTCAAAAATAATTAGCTATCACTTCAGCAACTACTGTTAAATATATTTGTATACTTTATTTTTAAGAAATCCTTAAAATAGCAAAAGTTTTGAAAGGTTGCAACCTCAAGTTTTTGATTCAAAAATTTGGTTTATGGAAATCCATGTAAGTTTCTATCAGTACAGGAGATTTGTGTGGTGGAGTTTAGCTCATCCCCTTGAGTAAACTAAATATTTAACCTAAATTAAACATTCAAAATATATGGTATGAATACCTTATTGAAATTCCATATTTGTATGTACAAATATACACTCATTCAGAAATATGTGACAGGCCTTTATATTACTTTTCCATTTTATGTAGCTTATCTCTTGCTGAACATATATTGATTCAACAAATGGCTCCCTAACTGTCTTCACTGATTTCTATGTCAGTCAATATAATTTAGTCAACACAAGACTTTAATTAGCCTTGATATCACATCCAGTGTTGTCACTAATTATTAAATCCCTAACAGTTTAAATTTTGCTTAGTACTTTCTGTGGGCTGTTTGGAAGCTTATGTTAGTTGGCTTTTGCTGATATTCTTACAGTGAAGCTAATCTGAAATTTAGCAGATTAAGGCTAATTCTGCTCAATGCTTGGTGCCAAATAATAAATTTCTGTTTCAATTCTAACCAATGGCAAACCTGACGTTACAGGTGATGGGAGAGGCACACTTGGTTAATACTATAGGACACTATATTTT